TCTCTGTAATTTTAGATATGCTTTTCTAAAATTCCTTACAATATTTTATGAAATCACAGTATTGTGCCAAATAGAATATAAGAGTAAAGGAATTGATCCCAGTGAGTAGTGTTTTACTTAAGTGACAAATCATTAACTGTTCTCTTTGGGATTTTTTTTGTAATATAATGAATAATATTGTTGTGTTGTCAAAGTTACCTGTTAAAGACCTGCTACCAGAATGGTTTGAAAGCAGAGGATTAAGGTAGCTGACAATGATAGGATTGCAAGAAAGTGACTCTGCTTTAAATGATGGCTGTTTTGTTTAACTAAAATTCTTGAGTAAAGGTGGCTGTGCTGGACAGGCCTGTGTCTTTTACTGTGGTCAAGCCTGAAGTGATGGCCATTTAAAGGCATTTTTATTCTAGAGCTTTCCTACTGAGAATTGGGTTTGTAATGCACACTGAAGTCTAGAAAACAAATAGAGATATGATCATGGGCCTTTTTGGCTCCTGATCTGACAAGGAAAATAAAAAAGTAAAAAGGCTCACACAGAATTTTTAATTGAGTTTATAGTTCAGTGGTTTTCTCCCTTGTACAAAATTTCCATTAGCACCTGTACTCAGGTAAAATGTAACTGTTTTCCAGTCCCTTTTTATACTGTACAATGAAGCTGACAGACTGCATGAAGTTATGTTTAAATCTGTCAGAAAATCATTCTGAGTCCCCAAGTGTATCACTTTCCTGCCTGTGTCCTGGTAGAGCTGCAGCAGGGAGGTGACTCAGCTGTTGTTTCGTTTTTAGGTTTCTGACAACTGAGGTGTTTGCCAGTTATGTAGTTGTTCCCTGGTTGTTTTTCTTGGCCACTGTCCCCCGTGTACCGATATGAGACACCATGTGTTGGCAATTTCTCTTGGGATTGCTGGACAGGCTCCAATCAAGTGTAGGGTGCTGAACATGATGCATGTTCTCCCTGCTCAGACTTTCTGAGGCTGCATCTCTCAGAGAGAATGGGGTTGATCTTTAAAAATATGAGGGAATCAAAAAAATTTTCTTGAGTTAATAAAGGAATATGTCTTGTTGAGACTGGAAGTAGGACCTTGTTGATCTTCCTACTTCCTTCATTTGGTTGAAGGTTTAGTGAGCATCATGGCAAGTTTCTGCCCTTTATCACACAGTGTTTCAGGTTTGGCACAGTCACATGGCAGAAGGTGCAAGTGAACTCACAAGCTTACAAAATCCAGTGTCCCTTTCAGTGCCATCACCTTAAACTTTTATAATTTTATCTCAGAAAATAGACTTCTTGCATCAGACAGCATTTGCAACCTTTCTCTTCAGAGCAAAGTAAATTTGAAGTATTTGAAAAAAGCATTAGGATTGTTTAATTTTGTGCAGTGCCCCTTGACTTCAGTTAAATATGTCCCAAAGACACTTGTTTCAGCATTAAGCTCTGCAAACCCCACCAGCTGGGACTTTATTGCATACAAGCCACAAGCTGTGTTAAAAATGGAAGTTAAAAATTCCTGTGGAGTTGCTCCATGCTTGTTTTCTTAATTTTTGCAGTGTGGTTGTGACCCCACAGCTCATTTATTCCTCAAAAACAATCAGGCAGAAGCACATAGGTGCTGATGCCAACCCTTCCTTACAGATCTTGGCTCTCTGCAGGTGAGCAGCTGATGGAAAATCTTCTCAAACAATGTAGGCAAAGTGATAATTTAACTAAACCACTGAGGTCCCTCATCATCCCAGAAACATGAAATATGAGAAAATAAGAACTGAAGGAGATTTTGTGATTCTTACACTTTTTTGTCCTTGTTTTTATGTTTTAATCGCACATTTTAATCTGAGCTTGAAAACAAACCCTCACTGATGCAAAGGAGTAGGCATAGGCTTTTCTCCAGGCTCTCTTTGGAAGGGATGTAAGGAGTTAAGCTGTTTTCTTTTAATCTGGCTTCTTTTGCTCTGTAATTGCTTGTTAAAACCTTGTTTTTCAGCTAGTGATCTTTGCATCAGTGACATTGCATGTGCAGCATTAACAAGAATTAATAAAGAAAACTTCTATTTTTAGAAGGGGAAAGTTGCCAAAATTCAGATAATTTAGACATCTCATGCATTTTTTTCACAGAAATGATTAGTAACTTTTCTTCTACAGAACATTCAACAAATTCAAAACTTCTGCTTGTAAAAGTGCTGATTGGATGTGTATTGAAATCTCATGCATTTGTATCAACATCAAAAGTGATTTTTTCCAATTATGGGTATAGGAGTTGCACCCCACAAAGCAATGAAAGAAGGAAGAGTGAAATTACTGCTCTGTAACAGAACAAGACAAAGCAAAGAAAAATTCCTAATTAATCTTCCAGTGGATGCTCTGTTTGAATATATAATCATTTTGTCCTTACACTAGATTTTAGAAGTTACTACTGGCTATAATTATGGGGAATTTTTTTGCATATTCATTCTTAATTCCACTTTCTCTACTCTGTGGTTTCACTCATTCAAGCTCTTTAGATCAAGAATAAGCACGACTTAGACCAGAAAACAAATGACATGTCAGGGTAAAAATAAGAGCCTCCAAACAAGAGCAGGATGAGCACAGTCCTGGCTGCCCTTAAAGTAATCTCAAATTGGGCTTTTGTGGTGGTGCCATGATTGAGAATCCTCATCCTATTTGCTGTGTCTCCAAACCTGGATGAAGTGGCATAGAAGAAAGATTGCTCATGGAAAACCAGTCTTTTGGTGGCTGAGGCCTATATTTGCTCCTCCAGACCCATCACCCTCTGTCTTCAGATAAGCTGGGCTCTGTCCCAAACAAACCAGGATTTAACCATTAAGCAGATGTACAAAATCCTCTTGAATATTAAAGTGGGGATGCCAAGATAGAGGATACCTTTGCACAGCAGCACATACTGAAATTGCACTCACTCACACCAGTGAGGCCAGCTGTGTCTGACAGACTCATTCTTCTCACCTTCAGGTTCTACTTGGTTGCATTTTATTAAGCTTACCCAAGTTGTGTGTTTAACCTTTATTTTTTAATGAAAGAGCCTATTATGAAGTCATCACTAGGCCAAGATCTTAACAAGTCTTGAATACGTACCTGTTTTGTCTCTTACAACATAACCCTGAAACCTTTTGAGTTATCAGGTCTAGCATGAACCAGTACATATCCTAAGTCAAGTCTGTTATAGAATTCACAAAAAATGCCCAGCTGGGAAGAGCAGAACAGAATCCCTTTCCATCTTGTCTTTCACTTTCTGTTCATAACATAACGTTTCTTTTTCCTTAAGAAATAACAAGCAGAAGAAAACCCCACCAAACACAAAACTCATAAAAATTCCTTTGGACACGAGCAAAATAAAAATCAACAAAATATTAAATTTTTTGGGAGGTTGCTACGGGTGCCACTAGAAGTGAGCTGCCAGGAAAAGTTCTATTTGTGTGTGGTGCAGCCTTCATGGTGATGGCTTTGTCTCAATTAGTTGTTTATTTAAGAGGAAAACATCTTTTGCTTTTGGTACTGTGGACAAGTTGTCTGTAAAAGCTACCAAAGAATATGGCATACAAATGTCCCAAAAAGGAGATAAAATCCCTTATTTTCTTCTGCTATTTAAAGTGTTCCTGACCCTGAAACATATTTCTCTAAGGCAAATGAAATTAGAAAAATGTAAATGTTGTACAGAAAGAGGATCAGACTCATAAACTGTCCATGTCTGGTCCTATTAGGACATTAATTAATGGAATTCAGTGAAGGACTGGCTGTTGCCCATGTGAAGTATTTGTTTATACTCTTTTTGAAATCCTGACCATCTGAAAGATGGAGGAGCACTAGAAAATGCACTGCCAGCCCTGGACCAAATCCATCCAGATAATTAACATCAAAGCTTGGTATTTCCATCATGCTTGATGACTTCAGGGCTTCTTAAGCAAACCAGTGCCCCAACTATAGAAGCAGCAAGTAAGGGTTTGTTTACAAGCCCAAGTACTCATTTAATTAACTTACTTAGATCAGTTTAGGCTGCCAGTCTGTACCACTGCTGTTGTAAAGCTCAGTCTTCTGAATTGGATACAAGTCAGTCATGTTGAATGATAGCAGCAGTGGAATGAAAGCTGTGCCCAGATGGACTCTGGGGGCTTTGAAAATGAACCAAAGCTCTTTCCAAAGGCAGAGGCAGCAGGAAAGTTGATCCTTTTTCCTCATGGCTTGGCTCCAGTTTTTCTCCAGGAGGCCTGAATGGATCAGCAAGCCAGTCTGGATCTTTCCAGAGATCACTAGATGGGGAGTCCAGGCAGAAAGAGGAAATATTCTGGCCTGTAGATTCCCAAACCCAGGCCAATGACCACTGACAAAGACATGCCCAAATCCCAGTGTAGCACCTGTGTTGCTGACTCCATCTGTCAGGGAAAATGACAGCTTTAGATGGATAACTGTTGTGAGCCTTTTCTCATATTGCTACAGTGCTGGAAACATTAGAGGCTATGAAATCAACCATCCTATGACCTTGCACTGTGTTTATTTGCACAGAGATGTAATGCCTAAATTAATGAACAAATCACTTAAAACACAAAGCAGAATGGAAGGATTGTCAAGAAAGAACACTGTAAAGTTTCAACATAACTTATATGAAAGTGGCAAGAAATTGTTTTGCAACTTTTCATTTAATGGACAGTTAAGGAGTCAGAATAAAATACAAGAGTTTAATGGAATTTTTTCCCCTATAATAAAAGTCGGAGAGAAGTGAGATTGTGACGTGGGTGACGTTGTGTTAAATACTTTGGTAGTTACTGGTTACAACTGTGACATTTATGACATCATCTCAGACATGTGAAATGTTTTCCTTCAGGTAAAACACACTTGTGTTCTTGACACTCGTGAGGAAAACTGCTTAAAAAGGAATTATCATATTTGTTTGATGTTACTGCAATGTTAATGTAAATAATCTAATTTATGATGGGAAAAAAAGTGTAAGAGATTACTATATAGTTATTCTGAAACCATTTTGGTATTTTGGTTTTTCCAGATTTAATTGTGGGTGCATTTGGAGCTGGAAAAGCAGTTGTTTACAGGTATGTGGTAAATACAACGCATTTGGTATTTCACAGTTTTGGTGGGAGATATTAAAATTTAAAAATGCCATATTCTTATTTCCCTGTTGCAGTGTGTAAAAGGTGGTCATTAGAGATGATAAATTAAACATCTTTTGAGAAACAAACGTTTTTTCCAATGCTCAAACCCTGTAATTTTCAATGGAAATTTCCATGCTTAGGCTTAGCTCAAGCAGCTTCTAGAATGTTTGACTCTTTAGTTAATTTTAAATAAGAAATTTTAAAGGCATGAGGTTGAAAATTTATTTCTTTCCTGGGGAATTGGTGCTACTAAGAAATATTAAAGTGACCAATCTTCAGAGATTGTATGTTAAGACATGAACCATTTATTGAAAATAAAGACTGCTACTTTTAGCCTCAGTTTAAAAAAATGCACAAGATCCCACATTGCAAAACAAAAAGCTGTTGCTGACTATGGAGTTTCACTAAATGCACTTTTTGATTAGATGTAAAATTTAAGGCTACCAAATACATAAGCATTTACATAAAATCTGCTAATGCTCTCTTAGTCCAGCCATGCTGACAGCTCATTTCATTTAAGCATTCACCATCCATTGCTACAACATGTTGTCATATTTCTGATTCCTGTCTGGCTTCTTTTTGTCTGTATTCCCAACAGCACCTGACTGAGAAAAGGCATGTTCTGCTTCCCCCCTGAATGTTTGTGACAGCATACAAATTTTGTTAAACAGGAATGTTGGCTTATCTCAGCTAATGCTGTGGGTGCAGTGAGAAGTCCTGATTTTCCTTCTGTGCTATGAAAGAATCATGCAAATACTTTGCAATGCCATGAGTGACTGCACAGGATAAAACATTGAAGAATTAGATCCACTGTGTATTTTCAATAACAATAAAATGTGTTCTATGTAATTTAATAAAGTGAATAGCAGGAGGCCATTTCCTGGCCAGAATGTATCAAATATGCAACTTGTCATACTGTTGAAATAGAATTTTATTACTGAAATTTTCTAGGCAAAAAAAGATTTTCCCTGTTGCACAAAAGTGAAGAGAGTAATTTTATTTTTTAATGTCTTGCTGAAGTAATATAAAGAAGTAATCATAAAAGCTCAGATGTGGATTAAAATATCAGGAAAGTTAGAAAACGGTGATTGTGTAAGTTACTGTAAATAGTATTGCTGTCTTAAAAAATCAGAATCTGGACACATACTTGTAATTATTTGTCTTCTAAACTGCTTGCAGTTATAGATTATCTTATCACTTAATAACAGCTTCAGAGGGATGGTTTCTGTCACCAGAACTGTATATTCATGTACTCAGCACAATTTACTGATGATTATTCTGATTTACAAAGTCAGTTGTCTCCAAGAAATGTCAGATAGAGCTTACTTCATTATTGGCCCAAGATAGTCTACACCAACTTCTACTTTAACCAAGTCATGTCTATTTTTTTAAAGAGTCTTGAAACAGACATTGTAAGTTGGAATATATCATTATTAATGGAGACAGTACAGAATAAATCTGTAAGATGGCCAAAGGACTGCTGTAAAACCCAAAAAGGCAGCCTCTGTCCCTTTGAGAAAACTCAGGGTGATGAAATATGTCTGATGTGCCTCAGTCCTGGGACACATCTATTGCTTAACCATAGGGTACTGATTCCATGATGTGTTAACATGAAATTTTTTTTGTGAATCTCAGTAGGATTCTGATGGGGGGAAAAAAAAGGATCTTTTGGCTATGAGCAGCATTATAAAACTGTGTTCTCCCAAGTAGCCCTACATCTCTGGCTTCTTTGCAGCCAACTCAGTTCACTGTTTTCTCTGCTGTAACTCAGCTACTAATGTGCTCCTTCTGAATGTGGTGAACCTTATTTCTGTCTCCCAGAGCCAGACCTGTTGTGACAGTGAATGCTCATCTTATTCTGAACCCCATGATTGTGAATCCAGACAATAGAACCTGTCAGCTCCCCGACTCTCAGCTTTTGGTGGCCTGGTAAGTCCATGATTACTCAAAAGATATCCTTATCCTCTTTCTCAGATAACTTCCTGTTCCTTAATTTTATTGCAACTCTGAACTTCTTCAAAGTTCAAAATGTTGAAACATGCTCTGAGCACAACAACCCCCCAAACACAGAAATCTTTTTGGTATTTTTCAGTACTTAGCAGATTGTCTAACTAATTGTGGTAGGTAGAAGTTGAGTCCTTTGATACACTGAGTCTCCTTCTGCATAAGAGGATGCTCAGCTCCTGGGCAAGCTGCAAAGTCATATGCAATGTTGAGATGAATGAAACATGAAACAGCTAAAATGGACAAAACACAGAAACAGTCATCTGTTTGTTGACAAAATGTAACAGTGAAAGTGATGCAGAGCTGGTGGGCCCTCCATTTTCTCTTGGAGAAAGACAGATCTTAGTCCTTTGTGGAAGAGAGAAGGTATTTGACTGGCCATCCTGAGAGAAGTTCACAGGATGTTGTTTCTGGCTGTCTTTGGTCAGAGGAAAGTTTTTTTTAGCACATCACACAGGACAATGTTTCAACCATCCTTAAAAGAGAAACTCTTAACCACAGAAGCATTTAACTTTGAAAAGAAAAAAAAACTAAAACAACCCAACATGAAAGCTAATTAAAACAATTTAAGATCAGTTATAAGTACAGAATGCTTGCAGGACATTTGGAGGCCAACTAATAGCACACAACACCACATGAAGGCACTTTACTGCAGTAGAAAAAAGTCACTTTGAAAGGACCCCAGGAACAGCTGACAAAAGAGGCTATTACAAATACATAAGATACTGTTTAAAAGTGGAAATCATAACAAATGAGGAAACTAAAATCAAAACAGAGCATAAACACGTGCAAGTTGAATATAAAATAGTAGTAAATCTTGCCAGAGAGTCTGTGAGGAACAGATTTCTAAGATGTAAAAACATTAGAAGCAGGAAGCCTGCCAGGAAGTGGGCTGAACAAAAACAATATTTAGGTGTAAAGGAGGACTCCAGAAGATAACATGAATGCAGAAATTTTGCACTGCTTTTAAACCAAAGATGATCAGAGGATTTCTTCATATTGGAGACATTCTTTACAGGAGATGAGTCCTAAAAATCATCTCAAATGTAAAATTCAGCGAGAGAATCTTAAAGAATCTTAAAAATTAATTGATAAATATGAACTGTAAAACATAATCATGAGAAGCATTTCATTTAAGAGCCATGGAGGCTCTTAAAAGAACTAAACTCTGATACAATTAAACCAATAAATATGTGGGCTTTGAAAGCATATGGGATGGGGTTGTCAAGAGATTTTCATTCTTGAGCTGTTCTTTTACACTTTATGGACTTCTCATATTTTTTACCATGTTCCTCATTTCTACATCCAGTGTAGAAAATTGCCCATCTACAGAGCAATGTAGAAGGCACTTGGTGGAACTATGCAAACCCAGAACTTTACAAAGCTTTGGCCTTTCTGGATTTTTTTTATTCAATTATCTTTTGTTTTAATAGTTGATATAAAAAAAATGAAATACAGGCATTTGGCTGAAGCATGTTCATTGATCCAAATTATGTTGTTTCACAACGCCAAATTTTAAAACTTTTAAAAAATGCTCAATGTCATAATAGAAAATACTTTGGAACTGTAACAGTTAACAACAGGTATTGAAAGAAAAAAGGTGGTTTTTTTGCACAAGAGGAAGAAAAGCTCTCTTAAAAAACATATTTGCTCTGAGATATTGTTTAGAAAAGGAAGGAAGAAATGCATACTCCTTTAACACATTTGTTTTGGGTTTTTTTATTTCTCTGCTACAATAAGCCAGAGGTTTGGTTCATATCTACAAGAGCTTTAATAGGAGCATAATTTAATTTCTGTCTGCTTTAGTCTAAAATATTGTTCCCTAAAGATTGAGTTCATGTTATGAAATGACTGAAGAGCAGCTGCTATCTTCCACACTGTAATTTTTTTTCCTTAGTTGATATAAGCTTGTATTGAACATATGAAAACAATTAGTAGGGAAACTCCAACAGGCAAAGAATTCCTCAGTCCCATGGGACAGATTTCTGTATCTCTTAGCCAACTGTGCAACTTGTATAAAACTCTACTGACTGACACTGAAAAATTAGAATGAAAGGAAACCTCCTACCAGAAAAGCTTCAGGAAGTGTGTGTGCATGAATAATGTGGATTATTGTACATTTCCAAGTATTAGGAAAATATTATTTCTGCCATGATATAAATTGCAAAGCTGAAGCAGCAGAGGAAACATGCACAAAAAGTCATTTTTATGCACAGCTCAAGGAGAATCGTCCTGAACTTCTAGAAGCATATAATTCATTCTCTGCTTTGTGTAAAATGTGGCTGTTTCTGAGTTCTCTATACTAGCAAATCTGTAACAAATTCTGCAACTTTGAAGGTATTAAAGAATATGGGAAAAGAGTTTATTTTTTCCCCTAAGTGTGAAAGATGCAAGTTAATATCTGTAAAAAGAGATAAATAAATTAAAAGTTTTAATTTTTCAAAACCTCTTTCCACATCATGTGATTTATTATGTTCAAGATTGGGCTCTAGCTGTCAGGAGGTCTAATTTATCTATGCATTGGTATTTTTATTACCATTTGAGGTCCTATTATCCATTAGCTACCTCATTTGTTCTTAAATTGCATCTACAAAAGTTTTTTACTCACCTCTCACTGATGTAAGGTGAATATTGTTAATTCCATTTTGTAGAGGAGCAATAAGTGAGAGAAGTTACCTGACTTACCAAAAGTTGCATAAAAGTGTCCAATCATGAGAAAAAGTCGATTTGTAGCATATATTGTGGAATATATTTTTTGTGTGTATATATATATATATATTTATGTTTAAATCTCTTTTTTTACATTTGTAGACTATATTTTTTATTTGTAAGTGCTTTTCATGTTTGGATGTATAATGTGATATGTGCCTTGTAGGCTATTCACCTTCTGTAAACCCAGTAAAACCAGAAGCAGAGAGCTTAAAATTTCTGATCTTCAAGTTCCTACTATCAAAAAATACTTGGAAAAACATGTAGTTCCTTTGTCTCCAAATTTCTTACTATTACAGTAGTAATAAAATATTTATAATCTTGTATCAGCTAGATTCAGTAAATGAGACATTTCTATGTACACTTTAAAAAAAGCTGAATACAAAATTTCTATCAAAGATATAAACTCCCAAAATAATATTTCAGCAGTTCATAGCTGCATAGGTTAGATTTGCTCCTTTCTGCTGCTGGTATTTTTTTTTCTCATTGACCTAATTTGAAAGAGGATGTGACTGATGCCCCATGGATATGGACCTAGGGGCCATTGTTGAGATGAATTTGTGTGAGATTTTCCAAAGCCTGTTGGCCAGCCTGACTCCATGGGTGGGACAGCAAAGCCATATGGCCCAGAGTCAGAAGATGGATAGCTCACCCCTCAGAGGGGGTAGGCAGGTGGTGTCACTTGCCACCAACACAGCTGAGGTGCTGTACAGGAGACCTCTGTGCCAGGTTTTAGCTTCAGTAGCCCTGGAGACACCCAAAGGGCAGTCACCTGTTTTATCTAGCAGCCCTAGTGCTCCTGCAGCCTGGCCATACATTGTAGCTTAGCCATGAGATGCCTTCAGCACTAAATCTCTGTGTTGGTCACTGGATTACACTTGGCATTAACAAAATCTCAAAGCAGGGCAAGTGTTAGGGTGTGTTAGAGTAATAGAAGTGTATTGACTTGCTTTTAAATATTGTACTTCAAAAAGGAAACTGTTTAAATGTCATTCAGCAGTAAACAATAACAGCTTCTTCTCTTCTGTGGAGGTTTGTGACCTTGCAGGTTGGGTATCAGCCTCACACAGAATGGAAGCCCAGAACATTAAAGCTTACACTGCCTTTCTGCTAAGGCATTTTCCATTCTTTCTCTCCATCTGCAAACGTGGGTGCTAAAGAAATTGTTAGCAATGACAAATGACACCTGGTAGGATCTGCTAATGCCTTGCTTTTCACTTCCTGAAGTTTTCTATTTTTTTTCAGCTGCTAGAGTAGCCATACCAAAATAATTTCTTTCTGGTACTAAGTGCAGTCTAAAATATTATACATGGGTAACTAACTTTTCACCACTTCTGGTGATATTAGGTAATTTTATTAGGGTTAACTTTTGAAGAGACTGCTCCCATCTTTGCCAAGAGTAGTTTTGAAGAAAGGAATATTTTCAAGTTTCTTGTGCTTGTAAAAATAATTTCTGTCTACCTGAAAAACTTTAAATTATTTTAAACAAACTGCTTTGTTGCCCCGAGATTGTCAAGAAAAGCCTGTGTGTTCAGTTTTAAGGCTTTCCCTCTATATTGTAACTACATTCAAATACTATTCAAAGCATAATCTCATAGTGATGACAGACCCAGCAGAATAAATGTGATGTGGGGATCTCTTCAGAGAGATTCATAGCACATAAAAAGTTAGTATGCTTTAGGATGATGGACTACTTCCCATTTTTTCCTTACTTGCTGAAGTTTTCTTCCTTTGATAATTGTATTGTTTGGTTGATTGCCCCTACAAGCAAGCTCCAAAGCTCAGCTATTCTGTTTCTTACTGTGCCTAGGAGTCAGATCTCAAATCTCTATAAATTCTTTAGAGTCCTGTCCTCTTTTGCAGTGTGTCTTTCCCTCTGCTTTTCTTTTCTTGATGCTAACATCCCTCAACATCTCCCCAGGATTTTCTTCTTGAAGTGATGAGTGAATCTAAATTCATCTAGGTTTGCAATTGAAATCTGATGTCTTTAGCACTATTTCTGAACTAAATAACAAAATCACAAATGTGTGGCAGAATTCTGCTAAAACCATAGTCTTTCTCTTGTGTGGCCAGAGTGTGGGAGGTTATCCACTCCAGGATTTTGCTTTTTTGCTCTGCTATTCCCTTTTTGATAAGCTCTGCTTGGAGTGGAAGGAGTAAATCTTGCCTCTTACATAGTATTTGAGAACATTACTTCAGTTATCAAATATGTATTATGAATTATTCTGTTCATTGCAGTAAATAAAGCATACACTGAAATTGTTCTGTTTGACAAGTAAAGCGTTCCAAGCTGCATTTTTGAACGCAACCTTTTTCCAAACATGATAGGGCAAAATTTCTGTGACTCCTCCAAAGCAAGACAACTGAGTTTAATACAATGGCAGCTCTTGAGTTTACATCTGAGGAAATACCCTCTTACACTCTGACATGTGAGGCCTGTGAAGTCTGATGTCTAAATTGCATTCATGCAATTACGCAAGATTTCCTCATTTTTGTTATTTTGTCCTTGTGTATTTGGAAATAATTGGTTCTTCCTGTATTGACTCATAATTGTAAAGAAGTAGGAATATGAAAAATTTGCATTTTCTGCATGGACTGGAATGACTATTTGAAGGCTACAGTTTAGCAGAGATTAATAGCATTATGCCATTCTTGTTTCTCAAGAAATAAAGAAAGAATTTTCCATTAAAGTCATGAGAGTGACACATATGCCAGATGTGGCAGTTTCATTACATCTGCCAGAGGAAACAAACATGCAATTAGAATGGGATTACGGGTTGGTTTAAAGGTTATGTTAGTGGTTTTTATTCCACTGCACTGAAACATTATACAGTATAACAGTAGTGAGGAGATCAAGATCGTGAATATGCAATTTTTTTTTATTCAACTCAAGCTGATTTTAATGCCGACCTACAGATTATTTTCCGTATACAAACCAAAGCATTTTATGAAGCCATGAAAATTTTCATTAAGAATGATTGGTAACCAGAAACACTTGCAAGAATCTATCACCTGAGCAATTTTGTTACATTATACAGGATTTCATCAGGAATTATGGTATGCAGAACTAAGTCTATTTGGCAGATGACAGCAGAAATCAAAAATCAAGAACATCTTTCCAGTGGGAAGTACACTCTGCTAATTGCATTAACAGGCATAATTGATACTGTTTCTCATACCATCCAGAGTAATTTGTGAAAACTTTTTCAAAATGCAATTCAGTTAAATATTTATAAAACTTGCATAGATTCCTTACAAAGTGAAACTTGTCTATAGGGGTTTTTAAAATTAATTTTTATATAAGTTAAAAGTTCAGATTAGAAGGTATCAGCCAATACAACTATAAAAGGCTTCTTCTATCAGTTGTTGAGTATAACTGCAAATCTGTTGCCAGTCTTACACAGAAATAATTCTTATGGGAAAGGATTCTGCTATGGTTGAGGTGACATTTGTATAATGGTTACAGTTGTGATATGGGTATTTCTAGTCTCAAAAGAGCTTGCTATACATTCAGAACAGGCAAATTAAAAACAACTTATGTTGTGTGGCTTTTTGTAGAATGCATTGCTTTAGCATATTAGATAAAGAACATGAATCACCAATTTCCCTATGCTTTGATTTAGGTCATATAAGTGCCCCCTTTCTGCAAAACTTAGCAAATTAAATGCAATACAGTTTGGTTAGTCTGATGTCAGAAAGATCGCACAATTTAGGTTTTATGTTTGGAATTAATTGTAGCCTGTTGAAATAATGAAAATCTTACAGTAATGCCAGTGGAACACATTGGTATCCCAAGTGCTTTCATTTGCTGGAAAACAGCTTGAGCATTGCCAATATGCTCTAAGATTTTTCTGATTTGACCACAATGAACCAGAAAGTATTTCTGCAGACAGCCTCTGACAAAGGTAGTTTTCTGAACTTCAGCATAAAAAATCCAGCTTTGGCAATAGTGTCAGAAGGGTCCATCTCCATGGACTCTCAAGAACTGCTGGGATGAGAGAATCTTCTCTATACCTTTGCCAGGAAGTATTCAGAGACTGTCTTCTGTCATTATTAGTGAAACCTAGGAGACTTCCTGGCATAATTAGGGAATATCATAGGTAGCTAGATACAATTTCAGTTAACATCTTTTTAAGCAAATGAAAATACTTTAAAGATATGATTTGGGAACTGCTGATTCCCAGGTCACTCCATTTTCTGCTAATAATGAATTACTTCTCCTTTTTTTATATGTAGCTTTACTGTAAGAGTCTGCGCAGATTTTGAAGGTCAAAGTATTTCAGATCAGATAGGTAAGAAATACTTTCTATTCCTGTAATTTACTCTAACCATGCTCCATTTCAAATGTATTTTTTCCTACACTTGGAAAGACAATAGGAGTGAGATCCTCCTAAGGCAAGAAAATGTAGTTTAAAAAAAGTAGATAGATAGATAGATAGATAGATAGATAGATAGATAGATAGATAGATGGATGTGTGTCTGTATGTGTGTGTGTGTGTAAATGCAAACCTTTTCTTACTCACTTAAAGGATTTTTGTTTCAGTTTAAGTCATTTTCTAAAAAAAACCAAGAATGTACCTTGTTGGAGAATGTTCTGTTTTGGTAAAATAATAAATTAAAGGGACAGAAGTCCTGTACACATATAATCTGTCAATGAAATTAGAAAGCTTAAATTATACATCCTGCATAATTTGGATCAAAACCTAGTGGGCTTTTAAACAGACAGGCACTTAAAGCATGGATTACTTTTTCTTGGAAGACTTGCTTAGGTTAATTAATTATAATACAGAATGAATTCCTTACTGGATTTTTTTCCTGTTAAATCAATAACTAATTTATTGATTTGTATCCTTCAGTGCTGAAAGGTGAATTGCAGTTAGATTCATTGAAACAGAAAGGAGCTGTTAAGAGGACCCTCTTCTTTGATTACCATCAGTCACATCACTACTTCTCTATTGTGATAGAAAGACAGAAACAGCTCCATTGCCAGGACTTCCTTGTTTATCTCAGAGTAAGTTGTTTAAAATATTTTGGACTTTCATCGTTGTTTGAGTGGTTCCAGGGATTTAAAGATAATAATAAAAGGGAGCCACTGGAAAAGGAAGAGTAATTTCCAAAATTACAGAAATGGGTTACAAGATAGACTTCATCTGTATGTTCAGTATGTGCAGAGCATTCTGCTACCTTGAAAAAATTCCCTATGTAAATCTTTGGCTCATCTTTTGTCAATATAAGTGGAAAAGAAAGATTGATTTTGAAGACTGTAGAATTTCTCTGTGTAAAAATAGATTAATTTCACACTGTTCTGGAAATTCTGATCAAATACTGCATCTTCTGATACAGAAATGCAAGATTGCTTTCCATTTTTGGTTTTGTTTTTTTTTTTTTTAGTATTCACAGTGCAGTAATGAACAAATCATATTAAATATCAATTTAGGTTCAAAAGATTTTAAAGGAGTCTTACCAGAAATATTGGCCTAATATTCATACAGTTTTAAAAGTATTTTAAAGATATTTTGAAATGTTTTTAGAAAAACTAAAACTATGGAATTGAAGTTGTAAAGGAGAAAGGATCAACAGTTCCTCACTTGCAGGTTCCCTCATGCAATTGAAGTAGATTATTCCAACTCTGATCCAAGAAATGCAGTGGGAGGTGAAATGGGGAAGTTTCAAGCACTATGTAGGGACATCTGTAGACAATAAAGGTGGTTGAATTTTACCATTGCTAAGTCTTATAAATTCTTGGTTATGGTACAAACCAGCAATATTACCTCCACAAATCCACACATGCCCTACCTCCATTTCAAAAGGAAGGGGGGCAGTAGCTGACAGGAGTTGGTTCTGTGTGTCTCTCTTAAACAGCTTCATTTTAGGCTAATGCTTTGAAAATTTCTGAGTCTACTCAGCTCAGCCAGCTTCTTCCAGATGTGGGGCTGTGGAGGCAATGTGTTCTGGGCATTCCAATTACTGGTGAGTCACTTTGCTTTCCTAAAGACACCACATGCAGCCAGAATTTGGCCAGCATCTGTCAAAGAACCACATCTTACCTTCAATAAAGACTCCATCTTTACCTTCAGAAGTCTGAATCTGTTGTCTTACTGTACCAACTGAAATAATCATAGTAAACTATTGGTTTTTATTATGTGATTATTACTCACAGGATGAAACAGAATTTAGAGATAAATTATCTCCCATCAATATAAACTTCAATTATAGTTTGGATGAGTCCAGTTTCGAAGATAGTTTGACTGTGAAGCCAATACTGAACTATTACCAGAAAAACTCCCTAGCAGAGCAGGTATGAGTTTTGCATGTCACATTTTCTGTATATAAACATGAAAGCATTTACAAATATTATGTGTGTCATCTTCCTTAAAAGAGAAAGCCAGAAATTGCATGAGAAAGATTTAATGAATACAAAATGTAGATTAAATATAAAACTAGAACCAACAGGCCTTTCAAGTATCTCCAAAACTTTCTTGTTTTGATTGCCTTCTAGAATATGTAAGCCAAGTTAGTGTGGGAAAGGGACTGAAGATTATATTGTTCTGCTAAGGACATATTTGACCATCTAAATAGTCTCCAACCTCTGACTACCACATGAAAAGGAACTTACAAAAAGAATAAAAAGATTTAATTCAGTAAAGCAGTGCTAGTGGTATTTAAGACAGGTTAGAAATATTTAATGAAGTGATTTGGACTTTAAGGCATGTACTAACTGCATTATATTTTTTTATTTTGCAATGATACAGGCTTACATTCTGGTTGACTGTGGGGAGGACAATTTATGTATTCCTGACTTGCAACTTTCTGCAGTGCCGTAAGTTAAATAAGATACATTATGCTGGATATACAAAGTCCAGACACTGCTAACTGTTGCAACAGAATGATGTAGAACACAGTTCTGTTGTTTACTGTAGCTAATCACTCTTACTTGATTTCCAGATTTTAATTTGTGCATCCATTTTAGCTATAAAACCAAGAAATGGAGAAAAATACTTGCAAACCACATTCATGATGTTTAATGGTTATCTTAAAAAATATTGTTTGCAAGTGTTTGTTAGAGTGGCTGTAGTTCTGTGAAAACCAAGAGATGATACAAATTGTTGTTCATAGGAAGGTTCAAGTTTTTTATTTCAGTATGTCAGTGACTTTGAACTTGGACACAATTCTCCTGAACTCAGTATACAGTGAAGTAAATCAATCTCAAAATAAAATTTTCAAAACATGGCAACAGTTTCTCCTGTGGAGGGAGAAATATGCCAAGCAGGACGAGTGGGGAATGTCTGAGAGTTACCTGACTCTCATCGGAATCAGTCTGTAGCTGTGAAACAAGGGCACAGTGCCATGGCAGGTCTCAGGAGAATTTCTGTCATTGTTTGTATTACAATGGACATGAGGAGAAACTACCACCTTTGTGTCCTCCAGAATACAATGCTCATGAGACCCCTGTGGCAAGTGGTTCCTCCACTAAATACTTCTTGATGTTTAGAAAGTAGTCAGGCTCTGACATTTTTTACCAGTTGCTTTCAAGTTTTGTGATAGTCCATCTTGGCCACAGTCTTGTTTTCTCTTAACCTCTTTTCTACCCAGGTCCTGGTATACTTTTTCATGTGGTCATTTTTATAGAAAATGTTTTATTTTGTGTTCACAGAGTGTTTTCCAGAACAGATGCTCTGAGAGCAAAATGTCCTTCTGCTTTATTCATATATAAATCCTAATTGTTCATGTTTTAACTCCTGACAAGTATATGTTCTATACAGGGATACAGATCAGCTAATAATTGGAGAAGAAAACTGTGTCATGCTCATAATAAATCCAAGGAATGATGGGGAAGGAGCCTATGAAGCTGAGCTACATATAAAGATTCCACCCGAAGCAGATTACACTGGGGTCGAACGCAACAACAAGGTAAAGGAAAATCAAGATGTTAGTGATACCAAAGGAGACAACTGAGAGCAAGGATAACCTACATAGGCTGTACCAGCTGAAACCAGCACATAAAGAGGTTCTTTTCAGGAAGGGAGATTCCATCAACTCTCAGTTATCCTTGCTTGCACAGCCCCGGGTAAAGATAAGCCAGGCCTCCAAAAGATGGGAAGGACAGGACCATTCTGTTCAGAGCCAGCTCAGGTTCATTCCCATTAACCCAGCTCCTTCCCACTAACTTCTTTATAATGCTACACAAATGCTGTCACATTTCTTCTAGGTATAGAGGTATTCACATAATTCAGATTTTGAACCAGTAAAAAATACAGTAGCAGAAAGTAGTAGTGCCAAATTCCCTTAGTGCTTCGAAGCTGGGATCCCATGGTACCAACTCCAAGCCAGAGTTAATGAGCCCTGCTGACCCCCAGACACTTGGACACTGCTGTCTCTTCTCACACCACACCAGTGTTTTACCACTATTAAGGGTGTCCCAGTCTCCAGTATCCTGAATAGTTGGACATTACTGCAGTATAAACTTGACAAAGTTACTTTCCCTTGTTGTCAATTCTTTCATGTTATGAATGGACCAAAAATGCAATTAAAATGTAAAATGTGCCAGTGTTCACAGAAGGATTAATGTTGACTGAAGTCCTGCTGAGCTGTACTGAACATTCAGTGTTTTTCCTTTTTGGGTCTGTTTGTTTTTTTAAGAGCAAAGATGAAACCCTATCCTGCAAACAAGCAGAGTGTTCATGTATTCTCTGTTGGACAGCAAGTCTGAATTGCCTCATCTGCACATGTATCTCCCAGGCTGTTGCAACATGAGCCTGCTTTTTTCTGTTAGTGCCTGGAATGTGCAAAAGGGCCTCAAGGGTGAGAGTGGGAGAAAGCAAGTTAATTTCCTTTCTGAAGGCAAATGTTTTTAAGGAAGTTGAATTAACTTACAAGGTATTTCCTTATTCTCCTTCTGTCAGTGACTTTATTAGTGGGCTTCTAACCTAGTTTGAAAAAAATTCCAAGAAGTAATGCTATCATCAAAGATGATAGAAATTCTCTGCAACCTCACATCTCAGAAATATATCTTAAAGACACTAGCCTTTTCCTACTGCCTGTTCCTTTTGTTCTCCTAGCAAAGACACTGCTTTTTTTTGGACTGTTATCTACAAAACTAAAGTTCTCTTTAACATGCTACAAATAGTTACCTTTTTTCTTCGTTCCTCTTTAGAAATCTTTTGCTGTTCTTTTGGATGTTACCAAGGTGTCAGAGGAGGCACTAATTCCAAACCCCAAGCATGTATTAGCAATATCTATTATTTGAAGGACCTGGGGGTGGGAGTAGACAAGAGGCTGGACATGAGTTGTCAATGTGCACTCCCAGCCCAGAAAGTCAAATGTGTCCTGGGCTGCATCAGCCTTCCATCATCAGAAGGGAGACTAAAAGAAAGACACAGAGAGACTTCTTACACTGCAGAGTTCTTCTTCACTCTGGAGGCTATGTTTCTTGACTAAAAATGATTAATGCTGCAGAATTTATCTGACCAGCATCACAAAAGCTAATTTGTGCAGTCTAAAGATGTGACAAAGGGTCAACCGTGGTAGAATTCCTTCCATAATGAAATTTAGTGTCTTTGTTTTTGCACTGATCATCTTTTTGTGGTGGTTAAGTACAAAATAGGAAAATTAAAACCAGATACTAAGAAAATGTCTTGGCTGTGAGGGTGGTGAGGCACTGGAACAGGTTGTCCAGGCAAGCTACAGATGCCCCATCCCTTGAAATGTTTAAGGCCTGGTTGGATGGAGCAGCCTGGTCTAGTGGAAGGTGACCTGTTCACAACAGGTGATGGAACTAGAGGATTGTTAAGGTCCCTTCCAATCCAAACCGTTCTCTGGTCTGGACCAGAGAGAAATCATTCAGAGCTTTTTACCATTTTAGGAAAAATTTCATTTTTTAGTGCCAACACAATAGACTCATGGAGAAAGGAAAAATCCTGGTGCTTTGGAAGAATAAAGAGAAGCTAGAGTGGGTTGAGAAGGAGTTTTAAAGTTAGAATACTTTTTCTTTTGAAGACAAAATTTTAAAAAACCAGGAAACACAATACAACTACTTCATTGTTTTCAGATTTTGGGGAAGATAAAAATGCCTTTCTGACAAATTCAATTCTGAATCCTAGTAGATAGAAAACTGCCTTCCTTTTCACTACATTTACTTACACACATAAGCTCACTCACACACATAATTTATTTCATATTTTTTGCTTTTTATACTTCATTCAAAAAGATATCATCATGTTCTTTTGGAGAAGGATCAAAGCATTAGTCCTACTTGCTACATCATTTTTAGTGTCTTTCTTTCTGCATTTCAAGGACTATTTTCACAAGGATTACAAATGGCACTGAAAGTAAGTTTATTCTTCCTATTGTTTTTAAATGGTAAATGTATATTTCTTTAAACTATGTTTTTTGCAATATTATGGTTCCGTTAAGTAAACTAAAATGTTAAATTCTATGTTGATTTGGGAAAAATTTTATATCATATATTTCTTCTAAAATTTTCTAAATGTAAGTTCTTCTGTTACCAAGCCCAAACTTTTAGGGGTCATATTGTCAATGAGTATAAGTGAGTACAAATGAGAGGGATTCAATTCATTCAACTTACAGGGCTTTAGGCACTTTGAATGGACAAGATAACAGAAGAAATTATCACACTGGATGCAGTAAACATTGAAGCATATGGAAAAAGGGTATGCAGGCACTTTTTGAGGCATGGAGTAGAGGTGAAAATGACAGTTTTCATGTCAGTTGCAGTGGAGTCAGGATTCCAGTTCTTATTTTTATGTTTGTGTTGTATCCTGACAATGGAGCATCTGTGACTGCTCCTGAAATATACCTAATTTAATGCAAACCTATTTCAGCAGACAGGTAGATTTATGGTAGAGCCTATTGCAATCATGTTCTTAAAGCTCTGCCTCTAGGTTGTATTTCCTCTTGGCTGCATTCATGTTTACAGTCCTCTGTGTAGCTGTGTTTCTCCAAACTGCAGAATTCCTGGTATTAAGGCAGAGATAAGATTCTCCTCAGAGCCAACAAATCAGGCAGAATAAGACAAGAATAAATAAAAAATGGAATTTGATACATTTCTGATGGAACTGAAATATCTGTAGAATCAAATAATTCAATTATGCCATCATAATTTCAAACTGACAATATTCTTAGAGGATATTTGTCTATTGTGGGGCTATTCTGGATTCAGTCTAGCTAATAAAGAAATACACATTAAATGCTTAATAGAGAAACACCTTAAGTGTCTCTTGTCCAGTCCTGCTTTTTTTTTCTTTATTTCATGTTAACAATGTATTGTGTTATTCTATATCATTTGAATTACACTTAGAAGCTGATGAAGTCAAAAACTTCACTTAAAAATCACTTGTCTTCTACCTCCTCCCTTCAGCTTTATGCAGTATAGTGTTTGACCTGCCTCAGTTGGCATGATCTTCTTATCTCAGACCTGATCCTGTAGAATATTGCACACTGCAACTGAATATTGCAGACTGCAACTGAATAAAAGATGAACAACATTTTGCAGAAATTTGATCATATGCAAGTGGAGAGGCAAGTGAATACAAGTGATTTTAAAGTCTGAGATCAGGGACATGATTTTGGAGCTTCATTGATTTCTGCAGATGCTGCCACTTCCTTCAGTCAAAAGCTGAGGATTGAAATAGAATGACTTTAAATGAAATCAAGTGTGTTTTTCACCAGTTGTATTGTGGAAAAACTTAGAAGGTCCAGAAACCAGGTAAATGAGAAAATTACCAGAGCTTCAGTAGTTCCTGGAAACCCATTGGCTTGCAGTAACTGTTCATATGCAGTAGGTGTGAATTTACTGAAATTAGCTGCAATGAAGAAAGTATAACCACTTTGTAGTATTAGATACATATATTTCCAGCAGTAGGTCCAGAGACAATATATACTGCTGTATGGTACATTCTTACACCACAACAGTCCCTAACATGACTGTGTGTTTGAACCCCCAGCCATTGCCTCAATACTGTGCACTAATCCTTTGCTCTGTGATAGAGCTGCCCACATTGAACAGCTCAATCCTGCCTTCCTAGCAAAAGCTGGGACCCAAATTCTTATGCAATAATTAGTAAATCAGGCAAATACAAAGTATTAACAGATATTTGTACACACCAAGAACATTACGTATTTTGGCAGAACTGCCTCTGCTCAGGCTGGAAACTGCAGAGTGCTGAAGATCACATCCAGACAGGTATTGCAGTGGATAAGCTCTGAGCCATTTCCCCCATGCCCTTCTGAACTAAAGCATGGCAGTCTTAAAATGAGAAAAAGACCTGGAACATTCTTGTCTTATATGAAAATTCTTAGACTAGGTACATTGTGGCTGGCTAGATGAGACATGATTTGATCTTGGTGAAGGCAAAGACTACTCTTCATGCATCAACTAGATACTTAAATATACATCAACTAGAAGATCCCCTAATCAACTAATTAAATCAACTAATCCATCCCCTTTTCCTCAGAAAATAAAATTGGAAGGTGATAGTAAAGGAAAGAGGAAGTTTTTTACTTGCCAGCTTGTTGTGTTTTAACTGTTGTGGCATCAATTAGTAATTCATCACAACAACCACAAAAGAGTTTCAAGTTTATAGGCTGCCTGGATTACTTAAAGCATCCAATCACTTTCTAGTTAAAATGCGCCCTGGGAGCACATGTGATAATTGTTGGGCTTTTCCTTCTCCTCAAGACTGCCAAAAAACCTGTGTGTTGCTAAAATGTCAGGTAGAAGGGCTTTGTGGCAAACTCTTCATCTGGCTGAGTTACACGTGAATGTAATTACACTGACAACAGTGGGTGTACAAGTCTCAGCTCTTGCTAGCTCCTGCCTGGTTTTAATTTTCCTATTTATTACTTAACCACCACAAAAAGATGATCAGTGCAAAAACAAAGACACTAAATCTCATTATGGAAGGAATTCTACCACGGTTGACCCTTTGTCACATCTTTAGACTGCACAAATTAGCTTTTGTGATGCTGGTCAGATAAATTCTGCAGCATTAATCATTTTTAGTCAAGAAACATAGCCTCCAGAGTGAAGAAGAACTCCCTGAAAAACTCCTATGTTTTCTCAGCCTTTGAGGGACAAAAAAAATATGTGATGAGGGTGGATTTACTTTGTGTCAGTCTATAATACAGCATCTTTAAAGAAACTGCCAAGTATCTAATACAGATGAGTATATATATCTATCTTTTAGACTTCAATTTCAACTCCTCTCCCCAACAAAAACAAAACTATAAACCCACACATCAAGATCAAATGGACAATTTTCCAGACACGTTTGATTCCGACTGTGTTAACACCCTCTTTTCTCCCATGCCTTGCTTCCCACCTCTAATTAACCAGCTGGAGAGAATGTAAAAATGCTTCCCTCCCAACCCTAGAGAGGCTTGGGAAGGCTGTTAGTGCACTGGACATGCTGTGTAACAAACTTTTGTTTCCTCCTAGCAAACTGTAAAAATGTCAGCGTACAATGAGGTGTGTGCTGAGGGCATGCTTCACATGGGCTCTGTTAAGGACATGCCCTGTCTTTTCTTTTAATCTCAGGAAGTTACAAGGACAGCATGTCCATGCTGGCTTTTACAGATAGGGCAAATTGGTACAGAGATTTCCCAGGTCTTTTTATATAGAGAGCATGAGCTCATTCACACTGCTTCATCTCTGAGAATCACAAATGAGCAGAAAGGTAATGCAGCTTGCTGCATCCTGCTTTCACAAAGCTGGTTCACTTCTGCACATACATGGAAATGCCTTCATTTACTGAAGATGTCAGAGAGGAAAACAGAAAAAAACCCCAACACATTTTATTGCAACCCCCTCCATTTTATTGCTTTGCTTTATTCTGTATCTCCTAGCTTGCACTGTTTTATAGCTGTATCTCTTTTGTAGAGTTTGTTTTGTTTACAGATGATATTACTAATGATAAGGATTGCTATAAACAACAAAGACTTTTATATCTGATGATGTGAAAGTCTATCTCCTTTGTTGCTAATTTAGAAACACACATAACAGGTTATGTTTTTGCTGAAGTATTTAACATTCTTAGTATTTTACCACAGATTGGAAAACAAAGATCTAGAATTGATCCATACCCCAGTTTTGCCAATGTCAGAAATTCATTATAGGGATTTCTTGTGATGGATAACACTGTAATTACTGTGAGACCTATTCCTCTCACTTAGTTTTGTGTACTCTTTGTCTCTCTGTTGAGTCATTATGGCTATAGGAATGATTCACAGCAACAAAGCAGTATGGTAAAACTAGACATAGAGTGATCTCATCCTGGTTCTTAAGGTACTGGGAAACTATCCTGTTTGTTTTTCCCTGGCATCAGTTTTCCCCCGTTGTCTGACAATAACCAACTAAATGTTTTGATAGTGCTCTGAGCAGGTGTCTGAAATCAAAAGAAAGGTCACAGTCAAAAAGGCATCACTTTCCCAACTGGATCCATTTCACTGTGATCTCTGACCTCTATATTGGTGTCCTTTTGTTGCAGGCCCTGCGTGTGTTGAGCTGTGATTACAAGATGGAAAACGAAACTAGAATGGTGGTTTGTGATCTTGGGAACCCCATGGTGGCTGGCGCAAACGTAAGGGAAAACCAGATGCATTTACTGATCTTTATCTGATTGAATTTTAAAGGGGAACAAATGGAAATTTATACAATTACCAGAATGTGTCTCAATAAGCACCACATAAACCAAATTATTTACCTGGACAAGAAATTGTTGGTGAAATAAGAGGCAGAACTGTGGTTTTGAAAAAGTAACAAATTGTTTTTCTAAAAGATTAATTATGCTAGAACTCAAAGAAAGTGAGAGCAACTCAATTTATCACTATCATTCCATTAGAAGTTGCAATAGTATAGTAAGAATTCCAATCTATAATGTGATCAGTTTATTTCTCCCTTTTAGTGTCCTCTCTACTTAAAACATAAAGATATATGTATAGTAAATGACAACTTTGTCAGCCTGATTCTCATCTTGAGTGCATACAGGTTGTATTGCCAGTTTATATCACAATTTATATCAAGCTAAGTATCTTTGGAATAAACTTTTGCTTTAAAGTTATTATTTTAATTCTAAAGATTTCCTGAAAAAGTAAAAGTATCATCCTAAAAAGTAAAAGTAATTGAAAACATTTCTGAGGAATGGAATTTTCAAAATGGGATTATGGGATGCAATGACAGCCTCTCATAAATCATACTACATATTAGATGGAATGATGGTAGCCTTGTTTTTGGACAAAAGCAAAACTGTATAATAAGTGATGACAAACACTAGAGAAAGATAAAAAATAGGTTTGGAGATAAAAAATTCCACAATTGTCACTCTTTGTCCCTATGTCATGACAAAACAACCCAGGAAATCCCAGAAGTGTTAAATACAGGAATTTTCAGCTATGGATGCTCTTGCAGAGGAATTTAGTGTTTCTCATAAATTCAAAAGTTCTACAAATATCTAACTAAAAGAAAATAATCCAAATATTGATACTTAAATAAAAACCGTCCTAATAAAAACAAAGCAATAGACAGCATAAACATTTATCAGGAATAAATAACAGCTTTTAATTGAAAATTACTACTGTTTGAATTTCATATTGGACCTATGGCTTTGCAAAGAAACAAAAGCTAATTTCTTTAGTATTTTGAAAATACCTACTAAATTAAGGTTTATCTTATGGAAGATGAGTATTTCAAGCTTCAGCCTCTCTGTAGAGGGGGCTTTCCTGGCCTCTTTCAATCTTGAAGCAGTTCATGCCTGACCCTTGATAGAAGAACCAAATGGGTCATATCATTGGAGACTGGAATTAGAATAAGTTTCTTCGGATCTTTGGGGTAGCCTGAGATCAGCCATACAACTTTAGAAAGAGTGAGGGCAGGAGTCTCATAGAGTCACCTGCTTGCATGGCCACAGGCAGTCACAGAGATTCTTTGGGACTACAGGGAGGTGGAAACCATTGAAAATTAATTAAGCTCCAGGTGATTGACCTCCTGGGAAGAGGAATCTTCCTGGCGAGGATCCTTCTACATTGAATTACTTTGAACTAAAAGTCTGAAGCGATTACTATAAACATTTTCTGGGAAGTACATAGAGAAGAAGGCCAAAAGATTTTGTAGGTTTTGTTTTGTTCTACTTAATGAAAATCCTAAAAGTAAAAGTAATTGAAAACATTTCTGAGGGGTGGAATTTTCATACTGGGATGATGGGATGCAATGATGGGCCAAAGCATGAGACAATTTCCAATTCAAGGCAAATAATTTCTTGTACTGAGAAGACAGCAATTTTATTTATCTGCTTAGTAATTTCCTAGTTAGTGTCAAGGCAGAAGCAAATTCTCAAGATACAGACAGAGGTGGACAAGAATATTGTGGGTGATTGGGATGCAGTGGAATGGGGCAGGATAGCATAAAACCCCTTGGGCTGGAAGAGAAAAGGAAGACCAAACAAAAGAGACACCAACTTTTATGCCAAGAAGGAAAGGAAATCTTTGCAGTTTGCATATTGTCATAAGCATAAGCAATGGAAAGGTCTGAGTGTAGAGGTGTTAGACTACAGACCCTAATACTCCCCACTTTGAATCCAAAGCCCTATTTCCACATCATCCTTCATCCAAAATGCTAGCACTAGCAGTGTGAAGCCTGCAGGAATGCCATTTGGTGGCCACTAAAACATTGATAATCTCACTTGTCTCTTTATGAATTTTCACAGCATAACTAATGCTTCTTCTCTTCAGAATCAACTCTAGGATTGCTCTAAGTTCCATTACCAGATATTACTAAGCAAACTACTTCATAAAGAGAGAAGTAGCAGAATAAAATAGAAGGGTTCATAACATATTCAAGGGTTTTCTACTTTAGAACAAAATAATCCATTCCTTTAAAACTGAGGCGTACAAAAGTGGAGCATTGCAAAGCCAGATGGCAACATTGTTTGATTAGAGTAAGTGAAATCTTAAATCCTAAATTTATCTTTGAAGCCAGCTCTCCTGGAAGCTCAGTAAAGGTGAAAGGACTTGTGTTTTTTCAGTCCAAACATATTTGTGATGGCAAATGTACTTCCAAAAGCAAAATACCAGCCCTTTGTACAAATTGCATAAATCTCAAAAGGTTGCTCTGATCCATTTCCAGTTTTGCAAAACAATTCTGCTCTGGCAGGAGATCAGTTATTCTCAAAATACTCAGTCAGAAAGGGACTCTTTGTGGAAATTGTGAGTGGGAAGGAAGGGTTAGGTCAAAATTGAACATTCCTAAAACTCCTTTACTATTGAGTCACCTTAATGACTTGCCAGCACCCTGAAATCCTAGAATTCTTGAGCTCTTGAAGATCAACTTCTGAGTATGAGGGTTATGTTGGGATTTTGTGATATAATCTATGGGATATTACTGCAGCAGACTACAGGGTTGTCTGACACTTCACATCTTCAAAATGAATTATGTCATCTGTGTCCTTAAAATTGTTTACTGGCCACAAAAAATATTTCATCTTTTCAGTAATATCTTTGAAGTTTAAAAAAAAAAGGTAAAAGAGTAAAAATGAAGATAAAAAGATTGTTAAGGAAAATCTCAATGCCAGAATGCAAGCTAAATGTCTGACAACATCTCACTGGCAAAGATTGCTCAATATACTTATTTATGACACTGAACTGGATCAGACTGACAAGTTTCCTAATACCTGTTCAGTGGCATTAGCAAGTGAGAAAATTCTAGTAGAAAAATCTGGAAGTTTATAGAAATTAATAGAAATAAGGTTAGAAGACTGGAAGCTTGGAAGATCTTGGCTATTTCTTGGTTTGTACCAAATTGATTCTTCAAGAGCACCAGGTTTTATCTTTCTTTAGAACTGTAAGACACTTCATAAAAAGCTACACCTCTGTCTCCCAGCATACTCCTAAATTCTGTCAAACATAATAGCTTAAAACTTATTAGTAATAGCAGAAATGTCATGTATTTCAAAGATACATGATGTTACAAACATGAAAATAATGCAATCTCAATTAAACTTACTTCACTTTGAAAATTTTAAGTAAAAATAAACTATTCTGATAAAATTTCTGTGCTACTAAATAAGGATGTTGAATAATTGCTAAGTTATATGTTCAAGCAAGTTAAACTCCTTTGGCCTCAGTGGGTTTTCAGCAAGGGCATGTGAGCATCCTTGCCCCATTATTAGTAGCAATATCAAGGCTTACACGACATAAACAAAGTCATATGATTATACAAAGACAACATCTGCAACTTATTAGAGTTGTACAGTAGGAGTGTGTTTCACTATTAAATGGGGGATGAAGCCTCAGGAGTGTAATACATCATCAGAACTGCAGCTCATGGCTGCTCTGTCTGATGAAAACTTTATCTTTGGTTCATCAAATGTTTTTTCTGCTATAAGTGGAAACAAATTTATTTATACTGGTTAGTAAACACAGGAAGAGAAATGGTGAGTTTAATATCTGGAAATTTTTGTCTAAAAGACAAAAGTCATTATATTTTTAAAGGTGAATGGAATATCAATACAGTTGCTAATATCATCTCCAAAAAGTGAGCTTATGAGTTTAAAATTAAAAAGAGCTTACATCTTTATTCCAAGTCAGCTATTCAACTTTTGAGCAATTTAATGAGCACTGTCTTTTCATCTGAAAGATTTTGCTTCAAAAAAGAGAGATCTACTGTAACTATGAAATTAAGATCATCAGAATTCAAAGATTTGAACTCACCATTCAATTTATGATGACAGTATTGTTCAGCTTGAGTCAGCTGAAAGTAGTTGAAACATGTTAGGTAAGTTTTGTTCTGGTGATGGATTGTGTTGCACCACTGCAAATGAAGAAATAGGAGAATTGAATGAAAACAAATGGTGGGAAAAAGGGATTGCTTAAACATATGAAATGACATTCACAGAGGAAAATTCCTCATCTTCTAATGATGTTGAATTTAAGTCCCTACATTGGGGTGTCCTGTCCTGTTGTTAACAAGGTTTCCTGAAATATTCTGAGGAAATTATGCCAAGCAGACAACCTTTTTTTCTTCCTTCCTGCCCCCCAGTCTAGTCAGACATTGGCAGAAATGAGGGAATGATGTCCTAATTTCCTGATGCCTTTTGATGAATTTCTCACAAAGATTGTTTGTCCACATGGAGAATATGTGTTACCATCCTTTTTTAAGAAATGCAACTACAATGTGCATGTTATCCTGCAAAAAATTCTGCCATTAGGCCAGGTGGAAGGTAGAGGGGGAGTGAGAAGTTGTAGGAATTGAAAAATTCACATTTTGAAAATTACCAGATTTAAAACATGCAGTTGAAATAATTAAAAACAATAATTTAAACATTTCAGTAGAATTTAATTAATTGAACACTGCGGACATTTGGCATCTCCTGCTACTCACCTGCCACTTACACACTGGGGCTGTGAATGTGTCCAACGAGAGGCTTACAGACACCCCACCACAGGCTATTGTATATTCCTTCTCTAGTGAGCCCTTCTCTCTTCTGAATAAACTCGGTCTGCTTATCCATGCTCTTCTTGCAAAGCAAATGGAAATTGTCAAAAGGAGGAAGCCAGGTCTGCTTAAACACAAAGCAGCACCAGTGGAAGCACTTACCTCCTTCGGTTTTGGGACCTGTGTGTTTTACACCCTCCTCTGGTCACTCACTCCAAGTTGTAGCAAATTGAACTGAAAATATAACCTTGAAGCTGTATTCCTCTTAACAGAACCACAATGGAAAAAAAAAATCAACTAGAAGTAAATTAAACTGCTGCTAATTTAGCCTCGGGTGCTGAGTCAGCCCCACAACACCTGAAGCAGGCAGTGCAGAGCTGCCAGGTGCAGAGACAGCGCAGGGAGCCCTGCAGACCTGGACAGGGGCATGCATGGGTGGAGGCAGGGATCAGAGCTGCCAGACAACTGTTATTTGCTTTTGGCTTGGCTTGGCAAAGCAAAGACTGTCTGGATGAAGAGGGGCCTACTGCTGTGTTCTTGGGAGAGTGCTTCTCTATTCCTCTGATCTTTCCTCTCTCCAGCCAAGTTTTCCATCTGGTGACATACAGAGGCAGGAGGGTATTTTTTCCTGAGAACAACTAGATGATGTTATTTCATACTAATTTTGAAAAGCAGCAGTATCCAGTATAAGTCTGTGAAATGCAATGTTGAACAGTACTGCTTTATTGATCTGGAGATCAACTGTTTCTAGTAACCTGTTGTTTTGTTTCTTTCTCAGTTCTCCGCAGGCATTCGATTTTCTGTTCAGCATTTTGAAAATGCAGATTTCAACATCAATTTTGAGCTGCAAATAAAAAGGTTAGATATTTTATCAAGAGCATGGTTATTTAAATTATTAATTCTTTTGGCATATGAAGTTTATTATATAATAAGGTTCCTTTTGAGTATCAGTAATTATTACAGGGGCTTTCCAATGGTAGTTTATGTCAGGAGGATTTTTGAGGTTAGAACCTCATTAACTATTAGGAGAATCAGTCCTATTTCTTTAAAATTCAAGTTATTCAGGTATTTCTTTAAAATTCAGGTTAACTGATTTTTTAAAGCATCTTCTGCAGATTTGCCAAATTTGAACTTTATTTTATACTTCAGAATTAATAAAGGGTAATCACTTTGTAACACAGGTGAATATGCACAAACATATCAAGCTCTGAATTAAACCAGACATGCTTCTTCTTCACAAAAATTTAGAAAATAAAAGGAAAGCAGTTAAAATCTGCTCAGCAGATTTACTGGCATGGAGAGCACTGTTTCAGTTTGATGCAGGTGAACCTTTGTAATTTTTCCATTTGATTCCTCCTCATTTGTGGGCCTCACATATACTCTATATACTGTAGAATCTTGTGTATTATGCTGAGCAGTACTTCTTCCACAAAGACAAAAAAGCACAGAGTGGGCTGGGTTAAGATAACAGCAAAAACAAACCTGGGACTTTTTCAGTAGGTGGAAGGGCTTCTGCTCCATCTGTCCTCATCAAATACTCACTGGAGTTCTGTATGGGGCCCTCTCTGCCCCACACACAGAGACTTAATTGCTAATGTCTGGCCTTTAATGAGGGCCTTGATCATGTTCATTATGGTAAATAACTGAGACATTTGAAATGTTTAAGTCACGTCTCCATAATGTAACCCTTGAAGGGAAAGGACATGCAGAAACTCAGGAAGGGCACAGCAATGGCACAGAAGTCCATTAGGCACTTGGTCAGGCATCAGCCCTCCCCTGGAATCTGGGTAGGGACCATGCAAACCTGGACATGAGCTCCTCTGGAGAGAGGCACAACATTTACCTTGTAGGCCCCCTGTCCACGCCACTATTTATTTCCAAATGCAAGCAATAGTTTTAAATGATTATCCAAGGCTCATGTCACCACTGTTTTCATGCTGTGAATCTGGGGAGGTCCAAAGCCTTTTGGGTAGTTAAATCTGTCTAGGTAATAAGAGTTGAATGTAGGTAACAGTTTTTAAAAAGTGACAAGAATTTCGTTAGTAATAAGTTTGAATTTCTGGAGACTACAACATCTCATGCTTCCCCCATGAGTGTAACTCACTAAAATGTAAAGGAAGGAAATGTGTTGGGCTACAAACTTGTATGAAAATGTTGAAGAGCACACAGCTATTTAAAAAAACAACAAAAAAGGAAAGAGTAAAGAGTAAAATTTCTTGCTTAGGGAATGTACGATACAGTTAAAATTCACTGCTTTGTACGTTCATTCACAAGCAGCAGGACAGTTTGTGTATTTCTATGTTCTTGGTGAACAGATAAAGCAATCCTAAAAGAAAAAGGGAGCAGAACTCCATGAAGCAAACAGAGGAAATTGCCTAGATGGAGGCAAGAACACATCTGAATTTGAGTCCTACTTTCATTTATTGAAAGGAGAGGACTTTCATTCACTTCAAAACATCAAGTGAAAGAACAGTATTTTGGTTTGCAAAACTGAAGTTCATTACTTATAAGAAACAAGCCAGAGGCTGAGTAGTGTCTTGAAATCTGACTCCTTTTCTGATGTGGATGTTGCTATGCAATTATGTACCTCTTAGAGAGAGAGATGTCTTGGCACTACAAACTATTTTCTTCTCTAAAAAATGCCATAAAGCATGAACAAGGTTTGAATACCTTGTAATGTATGATCAAAATCTGTATTCTAACTCTATGGAAAGTAGGACAAATAAGCAAATTGGAGAAAGGTTTGAATACCTTGTTATGTATGATCAAAATCTGTATTTTAACTCTATGGAAAGTAGAATAAGCAAATTGGAGAGCAGCTTATTCTAACAAAATAGTGGTATAATAATTTTTACACTTTAAACAATTTTTTGTACATTTATATTCAAAACAATGGCTATAGAGGATTACCTAAAACTTCAAATAATGTTTGATGGAAATCTGCATTAGTTTACAAACAAATTAGAGCTGCTCCTAATTTCAGCAATCTGTAACCAGAAAGCCTGGATCAAAGCTCTTTATTCCTCAGGAGTCAGTCACTGGAAATGCTGACCTCCTCTGAATGTTTCCACTTGACTGATGGTACCCAGATGTGATACCAGCAAACTGGGACAGCAATAGAAACTTGGTGTTCATGGAGCAAGGAAGACCACACTTGACTGAAAAAAAAAAAATCCAAATTTAGTGTTGTTAATCTCATAATTAAATAAATTCTAAGTGTAATTACTTCACTATCTTCATGAATTTGAACCTGCAAACCTTTCTTTATAGGAATGGGCTATAATCACAGGAGTAGCCTTTTGAAGTAAGAGAAACCATGTTTATTACTAAGGATTTACAATCAGAAAAGACAATAAGATGAGTGAGAGCTATAGATGTTAAACATGGAGATCTGCTTTCACTACTAAGTGGTTTTAAAAATGTAAACACTCTGGATAGGGGAGTGAAGCAAACAAGAAAATGAAAGAAACAGTCGATCTTGCTTCTTTTTCCCCAAGGACTCAGTCATGCTAAAGTCACAGGTTTGGAGAATCATAAAAATAAATTTTATTCTAACAAAGCTTGTCTTGTTCATTAACACTGCCTTCCTTCGGCGTATGAAACAAAGTTCTATTCTATTAAGATACTTTTATCTATACAGATAGCCAAGTTGTACAAGATATTCTGAGCCAGATAAATTTGTAACATCTTATTCATCATCACAGGATTCTTTAAAGGAAGCTTGAGTTGAAGATATTATTAAATATGTGATGAGCTCAAATAATATCCAACTTAAATACCAGTGTCCTACAAGACTGAAGAGTGCCAGTAGGAATCCCATTTTGTAATATGCCCAGTGGACCTTCTGTGTTGAGTGATAGGATAATCTAGAGTTCTGATATAAAACCTTTGTTAATATTTGTACATATTTTTTCCAGTTCTAACAAGATAAATCCCACCAGCAACTTAGTGAACCTCCATATCAACATCAGTGCTGTGGCTCAAGTACAGATCAGAGGGTAAGTATGCAACTATTTCAACTCATTGTGAGAAATACTTTTTTACAGAACCTTTCTGCATATGATAATCCCATGCAGTGAATCTTTTGGCATATTATAAACCCAAATGCCTTATCCATCTAGGACACCTGGCTCTCACCCCTGCAAGCCTTGCAGGATGGAGCTACTACAAACTTATTGACTGTGCAAAGACAGCAACCTAAAGAATCTCACATTGTAGTAACACCAGTCAGAGCCAACATTTTATTTGGGCATTCAAATTGTGCATGGATGTTACTAATATAAAATGCCTGCTCATACATGTAGGTCTTCTTGGGCAACCACTTGGATGCCTAATGCTGAATACCAAACAGAATCTACTGCTTTTATGGCTGGAAATGTGAAACACATTATGGCAAGACATGTAGTAATAGAGAGAAGAGTGAGGCCTTTGGAGAAAGGATGAGTAAGAAATGAGTAATGATAAACTGTTCACTAACACAAAATATACCAAAATTAAACAAGCACAGGATATGATCAAAGATGATAATTTCTATCTCTATATGTTTTTCTATATGTTTTCATATACAGCTTAGTTTTGGAAATTATAAAATGCAATTAGGTGATAATTGCCAGCTGAACACGAGCCAGCACTGTGCCTTTGTGGCCAAGGAGGCCAATGGCATCCTGGCTTGTACCAGACATGGTGTGGCCAGCAGGCATTGATCAACCCTCTGTACGTGGCACTGGTGAGGCCAAACCTCAAATACTGGCATCATTTTTGCACCCCTCTCTACCAGAAGGGCATTGAGGTACTGGAGCAAAGAGGAACAAAGCTGATGAAGAGCCTGGAGCGGCTGAGGGAGCTGGAGGTGTTCAGCCTGGAGAAAAGGAGGCTCAGGAAGACCTTACTGCTCTCTACAAATAACTGGAAGGAGGTTGTAGTGTGGTGGGAATCAGTCTCCTCTCCCAGATAACAAGTGACAGGACAAGATGAATGGCCTCTAGTGGCAGCAGGGGAGGTTCAGTTTCGATATTAGGAAAATCTTCTTCACAGAAGGAGTTGTCAAGCACTGGAAGAGGTTCCTCATGGAAGTGGTACAATCACCATCCTGGGAGACACTGAAAAGACGAGTAGGTCTGGCACTGAGGCACATGATTTAATGGTGAACTTGACAGCACTAGTTTTATGGTTGCACTCCATAATCCTTAAGGTTTTTTCCAACCTAAATGCTTCTAAGATTTTTATAAGAATATTAGAGTGCCCTTTAAAATCTTGGAACTTGTCTCCTATTCTGGCATCCTGGAGGAAGTCAGGAGGATGTCTGGGATATTAGATTTCCTACATCTCCTCTTATGAAAATACAGCTCAAAAAAAAAAACTTTAACCATTATCAGATCTACAAGGGTTGAACAGGAGCTACAAGGCCCAGATTCACTTCCACAATCAGGCCATGAGGCCTGGCTGATGCAAGAAGGGTAGATGTCTCTTATTTGATGCACCTCAAGGGGCTGCCTTAGATGTAGACAAATATAAATGTATTTATTTATGGATTTTTTAATTTATAAAAATGTATTTATTCTTGTCACTTCTGAGACAACATGACTACCTAGTGCTAGCAATAAGTAAAATAATTTTGTAGATCACAGAGAACATGTTTTCTGTTTTAATATTCAATCTATTGGCTCTAATCTGGTCTAATATTCAGTCTAAATCTGAGAGATTTTAAAAGGATTTTTTCATCATATTTTGTAAGTGTATTCCAGACTAAGAAGACCCTAAAACTAGTCAAGTGGAAAAAAAAAGCTGGCAAAGACTGTGTGGATATATGTCAATAATTTTATTTCTGAAAAGGAGAACTTTAAATACAACATATTTAATAAGAACAGAAGTGAGAATATAATTTAATTCTCTGTAGCTAGTGGTAAGAAGCTGAGATGAGCTGGATGGAAAGAGAGGTGAAGAATACAAAAGCTGTAATACAGAAGTAGAGGCTGAGGAGAAAAGAATCAAAGGTGTAAGTTAATGGGCTACAGATGTGTGAGAAAGTGTTGGGGGCCAGCAGCTGCAGGATGTTGCCATGGGTGAGCACCCAGGCTGAGGACAGGCTGGAGTTTCAGACTGGAGCAGTTGTGATTACATACACAGGACTTCACAGTAAGGGTTGCTTCCAGTGCTGTGGATTTCTTTTTTTTTTTTTTTTTGGTGAAGTCTCTCCTCACTTTAATAAAAAAGTCTTACAAACTTTTTATTTTTTTATTCTTTGCAGACTCTTTTGAAACTTTGCTTCCATCATGCTTTTTCAGTGCCATAGAGTGTTCCTTTTAATGAAACCTTCTATAACTGTAAATTGATAAACCAAAACGTAAATTGATAGACCAAAAAATGACCACAAAATGCTCAGTTCTTATGAGCTTGGTGATAAGTGGAAAAAGTTGCTTGAATTGCTGCCTGCAGTTCTAGGAAACAGGTTATTAAATACAGAGGAATTCCTTAATTGAATGACTTCCAGTTTCTTTCCTCTTAAGTATTTTAGTTTCCTTATTAGCTATAGCATTCCCAAATGCTGTGTTGAGAGATTTTGCTAATTACTCAGAGATGCTAAAACATGCAGTTCCAAGGGAATTGCTCACTATTTCCTAGATAAAAGAGAGACTATGTCCACATTTGGACTGGAAAATATCTTGCATTAGTTTCTTTACTTTTCTTCCGAGAATTGGACAGAGTGGAACTGAATGCATTTTACTGAGGAAAAACAAGTATTTATGAAACTGTGCATATGCATACATGCAGATATACTTGCACAGTGGAACCATGCTAATACTTCTTCTGTGAGAAAGGAAGAAATCTTCTTCAATAGCCTTTTTAAGAGAAAATTAACGTAACTCCTTAGATAGCTCAGTAAGCAGTTGCTTTGACAACTAAGATTTGATTATTCTGCTTACCTTTCTTTGTCTATAAAAATGTAGGAGTTTTAGTATTGGCATTGTTATCTCCACTGCTGAAAAAGCACTAGAGGAATGAGGGATTCAAGAAGGAAGTAATTTGGATTAAGAGGATTTGTATCTGGCAGAATTTTTATTGTATATCCCCATATAAGCCTTTTCTGTGCACCATACTTTGGTTACCATATTTTTCAGTACTTTTGTTTCATGATAATTGTCACCTAAAAGTCTAGGAAAAATCCTTGTCTAGTAAATCATTCAAATGTTAAAAACATTCTCAATTAAATGCAAAATAAAATAGCAAAAAGTGTGAATTTATTTTTCTTTGACCTAATTTTGCTACTTTTGTGTCAATAGTGGAAGTCCTCAAAATAACTGTAAATTCTGTTAATAGAAATGTTCTTATATACACTACAATAATTTTAATTTAATGTCTAAATTTATACTTTACATTTTGTAATTCCATGGATAAGAATACTTCCCTGGCAGTGCAAGAGAAAACACTGAGTTTTCAAGCCTCATGGCTTCTTCTTTTTGTCTCTGCACAGTTTCTGATTTGCAGTTTTTTGTGGTAGATAAAGGATCTGTGTATGTGTCTTGGCTTTTGTAACAACACTCTGAAGTTCCTATTCTCCAACAGCAATCAATAATTAAAATTCATATTGGAAACAAGATGATTTGTGAAACCGAGGCTAAGTACCTAATCAGAAATTACTTTTTAATTAATATGTTGAGTTTCTTTTATTATTAGGTTTGGCTTGTGAATTTATATTCTGGCATAGTTGTTAGTCCAAACTGCTGGGAATTTGAAGTCCGAGGAAGTATTAAGAGTTAAGATACTCTGGAATACAACAAATTTCACCAAGAGTTATACTTCAGCTGGATGGCATTAAGCTGTTCTTCTCTGGGATTTCCTACTGCTTTGAGAAGCTGTATACTGTAGAAAATTTTCATTCGTTGTATATGACATAAGAGCTGTAATCAAGAACAGTTTGTTCCTTCCAATAGTATTTTTTCAGCATTTGCAACAAAACTATCCAATCTTTTCTTCAAGGGGCAATCTGCACCAGGGCTACTGCAAAGTGATTAACATCAGTGCCTAGAAGTCTATTATGGTATTCAAATTTTAGTCTAAAAAAATTAATTATTGTTTTCTAACAGTTTTCTGTTAGCAAAACTCCAGCTTTGGCAGAACCAACACTGAAATTTTACGGATTTTCTTTCAGCTAAAGACTCCATAAATCAGCAAAACTGAGTGAGAGTTGACCCTGGCAAAGAAAGGGTAACACCATTTCCTTGTACCACCAAGGGCTACATGCAGTACTTGTAGGTTACAGATGTCTGTGCCAGAACTGACCTATCATGCTAAAAGAAATTCTTGGGATCTGATTTCCCAATTTCTGAACACCTGAGTGAGATTTAGTTGGCATCTGAATGGAACTGGTAAAATGAAATTCCAATTTTTATGAGAAATAAAATGTCTGTGATTCGAATAAAAATGTTAAGAGAAGACTACTTTCTTAAGGTCAGATAGAGAAGAAAAGAAAAAATTAAAAAGCAGCTGGAAAGTTGCCAAAGCATAAGTCACTGTTTTCTTTGTTTATGTTTTATTTATGTGTTGCAACTTGCAACAATATTCCAGGGAATGCTTTAACTGCCACTTTGTTTGCAAAGCAGTTGGAAAGCCTGGAGCACTGTTTTAGAGTCCAGTCCTGAATTCTGTTTTTCAGTACACCAATTTCCATTATGACTTTATGGAAGTCACAATATCTCTGTTTCCCATGTAAGATGTTATGGAGACATTGTAGCATTCACCTCACCTAATTCTAATTAATGTGCCCAAATAACCAGCCTTTGAGGGCTCAGGTTTTTATAGTGGTCATCATTTTGTTCTAAAACTAATGCAATCAGTCACTGGTAACAGTTACTGTTTTAACCTGTTTTATACAGTTACTGTTTTATACTGTTTTGTATGTTACAGAGTGTCTCACCCCCCAACAATTATTTTGCCACTTCACAACTGGGAACCCAAAGATGAACCTACAAAAGAAGAAGAAGTTGGTCCTTTAGTAGAACACATCTATGAGGTAAAAATTATGTATGTTTCCACAGGACCTCACGCTGCCCCCACTGAATTCCTGATGAATTTGGTTTATTGTCTTTATCTGTAGCTACATAAAGCTGCAGATGTAAATACTCTGACTTAGCACACGACCCAAATTTAATCTGGGAATTCACAACCCCGTTATCTGTTCATATGAGTGGAGGGGATATTAGTTTATGCTAGGAGTCCGTCTTAGATATTTAAGGGATTTATAAACATTTTGGGTGTTTGACAAGAATTAAAAACAGTGCTTAAAAGTTCCTTATAATCAATGTCAAGTATCTTCTCATTAGAAACTGTACATGCTGTGCACTTGAAAAAATGTTTTCTTTGACATTTAGCTAACTGAAAAATATAATGTAGACATACATGTAAAATACTCTGTTGAAAACAACTCTTAATGTTTGAAGTACAGATATTTTTACCTTGTAGTTCATTGGTTTTTTCCTATGGATGATTTGTCAATTAAAAGAGTTCAGCTTAGAAAAAGGGCATTGAGTGAACTGCATGGAATAGAAGCCATCCCTAGAATCTGATGGATGGCCTTTACTCTAGAGGGTAAAACAGGGGGCTTCACATATGGTTATAATTCACAAACTAGCACTCAAGGAAATATAAGCAACTGAGCTTAATCAGCAGTGTAAGATAACAATTTTCAGGACATACTAAAGTATAGTGAATACAACTGTAAAATACAAATTATCATTTGTGAATCCCCCCTCTTAACACTTCTCTAAACTGAAAAATACTTCAAATCATCCTGTCTCAAGCATTTGAGTTGTTTGTGAAACTATATTTGTGACTGCAAATATATTAAAATTATTACAGTGATTACAGTTACTAAGGAAACCACTTACATGGTTTATATCAGCAAAGCATCCAAAAGACTAAGCAATCTCCCAGAAGATGTAAGATTGAAAGGGCTTTTTATTTAGTTGTAACTAAAGGTCATCAGTCACAAAAATTCTGCAAATTTAAAAAAAGGAGGTTCTCACATCTCTAGGAACTTTGCATAAAGGTCCATGGTGTTCAGCTTCTTTAACTCTTCAAGCCCAGTGACAACACATGTCCGGACTCCTGATGTCATCAGTTATTTTCAAACTGTAAACTGATATAAGGAAACTAGTTTAATAGCCTAGATTTGTAAACTTTTATTATTTCTATCTCTGCTCATTTTCCCTAGAAAAAATAATGTCCTGGGATATTAATTTAGGAAAACTAGTTCCTTTACTTCTTTTGAGAAAATCTAGATTGAGAATGTTGAAAATGTAGTTCTTAACCAAAGAAGCTAGTTTAAGTTCTGCTCTATCTTCTATTCTTGTGCCCTGAAATGTGATTCTTTTGTATTCTGAACTTTTTACTACTATTTTCAAGCATGATCTGTTATAGCTCATTGTTCATATTTCTATGGGGTTCATTTGCTAGTGTGCTTTGGGTTGGAATTTTTTTGATACTTTTTTAGAATTCCACTCTTCATATGTAGGAAAAAATGGGAAAGGTGATGGATTTCTTAAAAACACACAGAAAAGACTCTTCTCTCAGATTTGCCATTGGTTTTGTGACTAACATGAAGAGGTTCTTCTCTCATACCTGCCACAGATTCTCCATCAATAAAGTGATATTAATAATCTGTAATAATCTTCCCTAAATACTCTAAGTCTGTGTCCACTAAGAATTTGAAAATATCCAAGTGGTGGTTGAAATGTTTTTTGTTGTTTTTACCGCCTTGGAAAGTGCTGATCATATTTCTTCAACAGCTGCACAATATAGGACCAAGTGCCATCAACCATACAGTTCTCCATGTTGGTTGGCCTGTGTCCAGTAGAGAGGAATTTCTTCTTTATATTCTTCACATTCAGACACATGGACCATTGCACTGTCAAACAAGCTCTCCTATTAATACAATGCAAATAAAGGTAAGAACTTTATTTCCAACACTTTGCATTTTGATTGGGTTTTTTTGCCTACACGTCACATGGAATGGAGGTTTCTCATGAATTGAACTTTCTTGGGAATTTTTAACAGTCCAAAATCATTTTCCTGGGTAAGAAGCAAGATATAGATAGCCTATAACATTTCTAAAGTAAGTGCTTGGTACATATTTGGTTTCTGTACTCAATATGAGGAGAAGGGTGTGCTCAGTCCCACTGTCAGTGCTACCAACAGAGATGTTACAGAGGGCCCTGTCCCAGTACCACCACTGAGGAACACCACACGTCACTGGTCTCCAACTGGACATTAAATATTAACCACAATTCCTTGAGTGTGATCACACAGCCCATTCATTATTCCCTGAGTGCTCTGTCAGATCCATGTCTTTCCAGCACAGAGACCAGGATGTCATCTGGGACGGTGGCAGATGTTTTGTCTAGGTGCAGGTAGATGATGTCAGTTGTTCTTCCCTTGTCCACCAACACTGTGACCCCACCATAGAAGGCCACCAAATCTGTCAGGCACAATTTGCCTTTAGTGAAGCCATATTGGCTGTCACCAATCACCTCCTCATCTTCCATGTGCCTTAGCATGGTTTCCAGGAAGATCTGCCCCATGATTGGGCTGGGCACAGAAGTGAGACTGACTGGTCTGTAGTTCTGCAGATTTTCCTTTTTCACCCTTTTTAGAAATGGGGGTTCTGTTTCCCCTTTTCCAGTCAGTGAGAACTTCACCAGACTGACACAGCTTTTCAGATACACATAGTGGCTTTGCCAGTTCATCTGCCAGTTCCCTCAGGTCCCATGGATGCATCTCATCAAGTCTCATGGACAAGTGCACCTTCAGATTCAGAGCAGGCAGTTCTTCATTCTCCCTTCTGTGATTTGGGCAATGTGCCTGGGGCGTTCGCCAGTGAAGACTGAGGCAAGAAAGTCATTGAGTACCTCAGCCTTCTCAACACCCTGGGTAACCAGGTCTCCTATTTCCTTCTGGAGAGAACTTACATTTTCCCTCACCTACCTTTGAGTATTCATAGAAGCTTTTTGTATTGTTTTTAACATCCCTGGCTGCATTTAATTCTCTTAGGGCTTTAGCTTTCCTAACACGATCCCTGGCTGCTTGGACAATTTCCTGTTTTAAGATCTATGTTTGTGATGGCAGACTCCCTCAAAAGAGCTTGGTCTGGCTCAAAGTCAGAAGATTAGGCAAAACACAGCTCTACATATTATCCCATCAAAAACAAGGTATCCAATTTATTAGCATGACTGATTCCAGACATTTCTGGAGTAAACAACAACACTTCTCAAGTTTAAGCAGTAGCCTGTTAAACATCTTTCAGGGAGAGCTGCATTCCAAGTGCTGAAAATGCTCTACATCTTTTGCATACCAGAATGGGTGTGAGTTCAGTATATTGGATAAAAGGGGAGACAACTTTCTAGTGATGAGGAGTGGTCACAACCTAAGGAGTTACAAGTCAAGTCTTTAGCCTGAACAGACAGAACTACAATATACTTTAAAAGAGTAAAGAAAAATTGACGTCTACAAAATACAGTATTGCTAGAGTTTTGTGTTTCACCCGGGAAACCAAAGAGGTGTTGGAATTCCACCCTTTTACTTAGTTTCTTTAGAGAAAGAAAAAGCAAATGAGTGATAGAAAATCTCTGTCCATTTTATACCCAAAGCACATCAAGACTGGAGACAGGGAATTTTTTCTGCATATCTTTTCTACCTAATTTTTCACCTCTTTTTTAGAAGTGGTGAGGAGGAAGAAGCTACAGTGCTGCATTTGTACTTGCAAGCCTAGCTTCTCAAACTCACTGATCAGATTAGGTTGCAAGTATGTGAAAAGCAGTTCAGCATCCTCCCACCCTAGCCATCATGTGTTCTGTTTAAATTGAATTAAGAAGCTGTGTAGAATACTGCCACAGTTCTTACTGACATTTTCAGGCAATGTATATTTTTTATTTAATTTATTTTATTTTTTTAAGACGTTTGCTCTTCCTTCTCCTACTTGATAATGATTGCATCTGTTACATAAAAAAGACTGAATTCTTGTGAAGCTTGTGAGAAATTTTCCTGTAATAACGGTCCCTCTGTTGTGGCAGAATATGGCTTTAGATGCACAGTTGTTATGGCAAGAAATTAAATAGCCTTTCCTTATTTCAGTTTTTCAAATCGTTGAACAGTATGAATACACAAGTCAGGTTTCAAATATGCTTATCTATTGCTTCAGATGGCAAGAAGACACAGAGACAAGCTTCTTCAAGTTTCATATAAACAATGGGATGCTTAGCTCAAATTTCCAAATAAGGCTAAGGACATTAAATGCCTGACTTCTCTTGGATATCTGAACTTATCTCTCTTAGGGCACTGAGGGGTTTCCCCTTTGAAATTACTCTGATTTTTCTGTTTCAATCAAAGCAGTACATTCCTCCCCACTGCTAAATTTCTTGTCTTGTAAAAATGTTTTAGTTGAGCTTTGCTGTCTAGTCCACAAAAATAAGTTGCACCTATGCACACACGGGAAGACTTTTGTTTGGGAACTTTTCTTTAGCTTATCTTTCTATGAAGACAGAGAGGGATGTGAAAGGATAATAAAATTATGAGTCCAAAAAAGGTGAAAAAAGGAGCAAAAGTACTTATCAAAGATATGGAATGAATTCCAATGCAGAAGAACTCAGAACTCAGTACACTAGGACACTTCAGTCTAGAAAAGAGGTGACTGTGCACAAATATGATCCTCAAAATGTGTAGTGGCAGGAAGAGTGTGGGTGTGGATTGACTGTTCTCTGCCTCTTCCTGCACAGGAACTGGAACATCTAATGAAGTCTGGGGAGCCAGATTCAAAACAAGAAAAAGGAAGTGATGGTTCATGGTGGCAGGTCTCAGGTGTCTGGAATTTGTGGCCAAAGGGAAGTAGGCAAGGTTAAAAGTTTATGTGATTCTAAGAGGAAAGTAAACAAATTCCCAAAAGAGAAGTCCAGTGAAGATTAATAAATGAACACAAACTTCATATAGATAAGGAAGTCCCTGATCTGAAAGCATTTGGAAGCTGAAAGTTATTAGGCGAGTGTTGTGTATGCATGCCCCCATTCTTAGTTCCTTCTTACTCTTCCTAAAGGCAGCTGTGATGAGAAGAGGGCTCAGTTAGATTCCCTCCTGGCTTGAGACCATATTCCTGATGAGTTGTTTTTTTCTCCCAGACTGACGGCAAAAAGCATTTTTATGAAACCTGTACCTATAAATACCACCGTGGTAGAATACACAGACACATGGTGCATTCTCAGTAGCTGAGCACTGCAGTACCACCAGCGAAGCATCTGTCAGGGAAGCAGTGAAATAACAGCAAAAATCCACCACATGTATGAGGTACATCCACCAACATGAGTGGCAGGAGCTAACCCCTTCCAGAGGCAGGCTGCTCATGCTCTAAAACTGTTAGTACTGTCTTTAGGACTTGATCTTAGGACAAAGCAATACCATCCAATGCATTGCTCTTGAATGGTCACCAACTGCTCTTTTGTAATTTTGTGCATAATCTAGTAATATAATATATTTATATTATAGATACATATAATATATATTGTGTATATATATAATATTAAATGTATAATGTAGTATAATATAATATAATGTATGTAACATAAAATAATGTGTATAATCTTTGTGTAAAAAAGTCCTCTTCCAGAACATTTCTGATGGAGTTACACAATGCAGCAAAGGCTGTAGCCTGGCTAGAAAACCAGAAAAGTGGAACAGGGTATTGGAATGAGAAGTGGGGAACTGGAGAGGTCTGGAAACCTGCTCAAAGTAATAATGCTCAAGAGAAGAAAGCAGTACAGTTTTCCATGGTGGGGAAACTGAGGCAGTCTGCTGTAGTTAAAGGGAGGGAGTGATCCTCTAAGATAGTGTGCCAGATACATGGCATATAAAATAGCACCAGAGAGAGATTATACAGTTGAGCAATTCCATGTGACCAGATCAAGAAGATCTAGGCCACTGGACAAATTCTGCTTTTAAATGGTTGCAGGAGACACATGTGTTTCTCTTAACCACAGAGGGCTCTTTTTGAACCTTTGCTGTAACAATTCACTAGGATGCTAACACTCTAGGATCAATGAAAAAAGAAAAATGTAAATATGAAAATCCTTTGGTATTCAAATGGATCTACATATATATCCATTGTGATCATATATTGAGGGTTTCTTTGCGGGCACATTACTATATTGTGGGTTTTTTTTTAATTTGTCATCATTAAAGAAGTCTATATGCTGGTGAAAGAATTCTGAAAGGAGAATTTGCATGTTACCACATTGAGAGGGAGAGATTTACTAGCTACTTATGGGTTCCCTTATTGCAAATAGACAATGCTAATCTCATGAAGCAACAGAAAGAAAGAAAAAAGGGGGATTCTTTTTTTCATGTGTTTTCATCTGTTAATGAATTATATACTTTGTACGATGCTTTTGACTGAAGATCTCAGACAATGTTAAATGTTTATGTTCCATTTATAGCATTATAATTTTAATCAGATAAATTACACCAATTTTCCAAATCTAGTACTACACAGCATTAGTGTATGAGAGGTTTTGTGTGTTTATAGCTATTCTTTCCTTTAATGCTACAACATTTATTACAATTACAAACATTTTCTTTAGGAATTTGTTTAAGATATTTTGTGTTCAGAGGTTAAAGGAACTGATAAGAAGGATCTGATGCAGCACTTTATAATCTGATGTCCTTAAGCAATAGCTTTGGCTATATTTAGTTGAGTTCCTGTTGAGATCTTACTGTAAACTTCTATGTATATTTTATTGTGATTTTGCATGATTGGATTGTCATGAATTAAAATTTATCTTTACTTCTGTAGCAGTTGGCTCCAGGAGTTATATGAGGCTTCATGAAAGAAGCCATAAAATGCCCTGTATAGAAATTAAAGACAAACTGCCAACAAAAAGTAGTTTTTAATTGGAGAACAAAAAACTATAAATATAAAGCTGAAGAGAATGCATCTTAATGCGAGATTAAAAATGAAGAAGCTGTTGCATTTTACAAATTTGAGCTGTTACCAAAACAAATCTGTAACATATTTGTTATATGATCAAAAATTGCGTTATTTGAAGTCAGACTTCCATTTTTTTCTAAAACTGGTAAAATCCTTACATTTTAATAGGCAGATTCTGATCAGAAGTAATGAATAAACTACTGTGCAACAACTCTGAATTTGACCTGTTATATATATCAGAATTTGCCCCTGAGAATCTAACAAAATTATGTAAAGCAACGAAATTGACACCGGTACTAAGTGGAGAAAAATGTTGTCTGCTGTAATTCCTATAACTGGGTAATATCTTGCTGTGCTATTACTCATCATGCTTCTAGTTGAAGACAAAGTATTCTCATGGTTGTGCTGTTCAATTGAAAAAACAGTGTTAATCCAAAATTCAAGACCTCTGAGACAGGAACAAATCTGTTAGAGTCATTGTATGTGTATGTCATTACCATTCCCATTTCTCTCTTTGCAGTTTGCTGTTCCAGAAGACACTCCTGAACTTGCTGCTTTTTTATATAATTCCACAATTTCTCATTACATCAGGAGAAGGGATGTTGCAGTGGCAGAACCTCACAGGAAAAACTCTGCAAGAATATTGGTGAGCTATCTAAAAGTTTTGTACTGGGAGTGTGCAGGGAAAGGTGAGACTCTACAGTACCACAGGCCAGGCAAATGGGACATATCACTGTATTCTTAACAGTCCAGACAATGCTGCAGCAATAGCAATGCTGTCTCTCCTAGGGAAATAGTTCTGATTAGACAGTCTGGTACCTGAGTATTTGTTCTTGGCTGTATTTTCAGAAGTTTTTTTCCACTCCTGCATTCAAAGTGCCATCCTTAGCATACTTCAGCCCTGTAGGTGTCAGCTGCCTTTGCCTAAAGGCAATGTGTGAACACAGTGACCTTGAGATCAGGCAAGGGATTCACAGTCAGTGCTTTCCCTCTATTTTTATGAACCTTGGGCAGAGTTTCTTTCATGCTGTCCAGTCTCTTATTAAGCTGTTTACTGCAAACTCGTGCTTGAATTCCTTGACCTCACTAAAATTTGGAAGCAAAGAACCTCACAAATTTAAGTGTTCTGGACTAAGAGAATAATTATTGCTTCTGAAAGTTAATTTGGCAATTTTTATAACAGGAAGAAGATAGAATCTGAAAGTAATGAAAACTGTAATGTTATTAAGAACAAAATCACAGTTTAACCCATTTTAAGCAATAATCACTGTTGATTCCTGTGCCATTCTTTCATCAACCCAGTACCCTAGGAAGAATCTGATTCCACTGGATCTGAAGGAAAAATGCCAGGACTTTCAAAGACATGCCAGTCCATATCACAGAACACTTCTGTGTTCAGATCCATTCTTCAGTGATATCTTAAATTTCAGGCATCTTTCTGAGTGACTAGGCTCATGGGCTGCCAACATAAAAATGACTGCAGCAATTGGAAGTGGTAAACAAAGTTCTGAAGCATGCACTCTGTTTGTAACTTAAAATATGATGCAGGGAATTTTCTACTGCTTGATCTAGATGGAGCAAACTTATTTAGTGGGGTACTCAGTAATTAGAAATTGGCACTTTGATGAGCGTTCTTCTAGTAAAATATGCTTTTGGTCAGCACAAATTAGGATAGGATTGGGTGCAGTGCTTACCACTGGATATATAGAAAGACTATTCCAGAGTGAGCATAGAAAAGCAATGTCATTGGTTCAGTTAGAAGGTGTCCAAGTACTAATGCTTTCAGCATTAGTTACTGCTGATGCATAATTTTTTTATTTGACATATTAGAAGTGTACATGGTAAAATGAATGTTGCTCTGGAAAAGACTAATTGGCCAAAGATAATTCTGTGTTTAAAATTGTAATTTTTTTAAAGAAATTTTAAGTTATTTTCATTTTGATCAAAGCATTTTCACAGAGAGACAAAATGTTCTGAGAACCTCTTATTCTACTTATGCTGTTGATTAAATATTTGGTTTCTTTTCCATTAGTTCCAATGTTATATTGTTCTGAAAATCACTACAGGCTAAATGCATTACTAAGAAAAACAGAAATATGTGTTCAGGTCCTAAAATGTCAGCCAAAAGTAGACTTTTTTGCATACTAATGATTTGTTTTGCTAATGTGTGTTTTTGACCACTTTGATTAATGAAAACAAGTCTTCTCTTTCCTGCAAAATAAATAAATCTGTTTGGAGGATGTTTAAAGCCAAATAAACAGATACTCTAAAATATTCATAAAAAAAAAAAAAGTTTATAGTTGCAAGTTCCGGGGTTTACAGTTTAATTTTCAGTCAGATAGAGAAAGCAGCAATTAGCCATACAGCTTCCATTGGAGCTTATGCTCCAATAAGACAGAGATTTGTGAGGAAAGCTGTCTATAAAGATGCAGGATTCCTTAAGAGTGTTTTCAGATCTGTTCCATGCATCATCATCTCATTTCCTGCAGATTGGGTATTGGTAGTGCATTCTCACTAGGGAATAAACTTACTTTTCAAAACTGAGCTTTGCTTTTGAGGTCACAAGGCCTTCTGTCATGGGAGGGATTCTCTGCTTTGTTATAAAAATAGGAATCAATTAAAACTTCAGCCTTCCCCTGAGCCAAACAAAACTTTTCAGATAAAACCCATTTGTATATACAATTTTTTTATTTTTTCCACAAACATTTAATCATTTTTTATGGGATCGTTTTTCCTTTTTATGCCCTAAACAACCACATAATTCCTGTGGTTACCCCATGAGACTCTGCTCATTCCCTTCAGTGGCTTCCAGTCAGCTTTTAACCTTTAGTGTGACATTCTTTTGGCAGACTTCAGGAGTATATAGTTTTGAGTTGCAATGCTTGGCTTTTGCTTTCAGCCTTGTCTATGGGCCAGAATCACTGCTCATCAAGAATGCTTCATGGACAGTAAGCTTCAAGGAAAGCAACTAATGAATCTCAGCAAATGTTCTGGCTGCTATGATGTAAATATCAGTGGGAAAACCAGGAGAGTTAGAAAAGGGGAAAGATTTAGCAATATAAATAAACACTTAATGCATAGAGAACAGAAAAAGTGTTGAAATCATAAAATGATTGATAGCTGAGGAAAAAGCACATGCTTCAAAGGATTGGTAAGTGCCTGGACATTTTAAGAGTTTTTCAGAGCAAACACTTTTGAAAATTATTACTTTTATTTTCTTTACTATAGGTAGGTGTTTGTATTCACTGGTGATTCAAAAAGAATCTGCTCCTTGGTTTAGAGTTATCACAATGACTCATGGGGTATCTCATAATATATTAGATAAAATTACTGATTTCAAACTATTTAGCTCTTGAAGGAAAAGTTTATTTGTTTTTGCTTATTTACAGCATGTGAAAATGATTTTGTTTTCAAAACATAAGTATGTCTTCCCTTTATTTTTTGCTCAGAACTGTACAAATGTGAAGTGTGTCTTAATTTCGTGCACTGTGGGACAGCTGGAAAGAGGAAAGAGTGCTGCACTAAAAATCAGGTCCCGGCTCTGGGCACAAACATTCCTGGAGGTAATGCAAACAAACATCTCTTTCTATACACATATAAAAATAATGTATTTGAGCAGATATTTTAAAATACAAATTAATAAATTAAGTGGGGCAAATGTAAATACTTGTTACCATTTTCTTTGAAGATAACATCTCACTGGTTCCTGTCCAGGTTTTTTGGATGCTGCTTACTTTTTTTTTCTTGCTATCACTCCTTCTCAAATTTATGTCCTGAATCCTACTTGAAGATGCCAAGATTATTTTTAAATACCTCTCCTGGTTTTGCTTCTGCTTTCCTGGACTGACCCAGATGTCCTGCATTTATAACCTCTTTTCCAGTGGAAGGTTTTTCTTGGAGCCAAAGAGTGTACCATGTACACTATGTCCAGCTTAAACATTCATTGTTATTCATTCTCTATTAATCCAGGGAAGAGTAATATGCATCAAACTCATATGATACACGACACTCATGTAGTGACAATCTGTCTTACTGCTGAAAGGGGCAGTGTAGATGATGGAAAAAAATGCAGCTTCTCTTTGCAAATTCTTGCATTTCCAACTTCTGCTCTCAGGATTATATTCACACTGCATAAAGGGACCTGTTGGAGTGAGGGCAGAGGAGGGCCACAAAGATGACTGGAAGAATGAAACACTTCTCCTGTGAGGAAAGGCTGAGAGAGCTGGGGTTGTTGAGCCTGGAGAAGGGAAGGCTGCAGGAAGAGCTTATAGCACCTTCCAGTACCTAAAGGGGTCTTCTGAGAAAGATGGGAACAAGTCTTTTAGCAGGGCATGTTGCAATAAAACAAGGGGTAATGGTTTTCAACCACAAGTGCATCTATTTAGATTAGATGCAAGAAAGAAGTGTTTCAAAATGAGGGTGCTGAAATGCTGGAACAGGTTGCCCAGAGAGGTGGCAGATGTCCCATGCCTGGAAACATTCAAGGTCAGATTGGACTCTGAGCAGTTTGTACTAATTGAAGATGTCCATGCTTATGGCAGCCTGGACATCTTCAATTAAAGTTCCCTTCCAACCCAAATTATTCTATGATTTTGTAAGGCAGAGGGATTTTACTGTTAGCTTTGCCTCATAGCTGGCCTTGTGTCTGTATTTACTGTGTAGTTGTCATACTTTTAACAATGGAAAATACAGTGAGAAATTTATAATTCCATTTGCTGTTATTAAGAAATACCTGCATCTCCTGTCTTGATCAAGCTGATTTATTATTGGCTTGTTTTTCAAGGAATTCAGGATTTCCCAGTCTTTCTATCTGGAATGTAAGAACCTTTCCTGTGTTCCCTACAGCTGTGGGAGAAGAATTCTTTATATGCAGGGTACCTCTTACCCTAGCAAGAGAAGAATTGAGGATCTTCAGTTTACAGCTTTAAATTAAGCTCCTCATGCCTTTGAAGTTAATTTCTCCCTTCCCTCAAATATGAAAGTAGACCAAAGAAATTCATCCTCACTTGCTTTCCTGGAGAAATGAGAGCAGATAGGATAAGATTTCCAGAAAGTTGAATGCCAGCTCAGTAGCTAACCAAATCCATAATGGGTGCAAACTTTTGGGAGGTCATTGGTCTCTCTTGGTGTACAGGACTATGGTAGTAGTTACTTGAAAGGGTGACTTGAAAGGTTTTTCTACCTAGCTGTCAGGAGGCCAGGTCACATTCTGTGTTTCTTCTCCAAAAGCTGTTGTAGGACCACTATGACTGAAGAGCACTTAAGTTCTGTCCTCACTATCTGGCCTTGCTTGAAGAAAAAAGATTTCTGTCTCGCTCAGTAACAGAGGACATCCTTTCAGAGACTAAGTGAAATAATTCCTGATTTGTCAGTGCATTTTCTTTCTATGAACAATCCATCCCAAGAAAATTTCATGTCCTTTCTTCAGTTTGATTAACACAAATAAAATGTTTTTAAGAGGAATCGTATTTTAAAAATGTTAGCTATGTCTAGATACTCTAGACTGGTTGTGCCTCATTTAGGTTTGCTGAGTGAGTCATCTGCTAGTGCAAAAAAAGGCAAGATCTGGTTCAAATTTAAGCCCAAAAGTATGACAGCTTGGATGTCTCTTTGTCCTTTCAAATCTGGGAATTGGGATGGACATCATTTGGTGCAAGCTTTTGCAAAGGGCAGAAAGTACCAGTATGTAACCATCCCTGCAGCTTTAGAAGAAACATATCTATTGGGAAATAGAATGGACATTTGATTCCATTTTTTCCAAATTCCATTAAGAGACTGCTGGACAAGCTCACATAGGCTAGTCCCTGTTAAGTTCAGGTAAGAACTTCACTGCACTGGTTCTCTGTTCTCTGTTCCTAACACACAGAGAGAAGCAGAGATATTATCCTTGACTGGAACAATGTGTGGCAATTTTGAGCACTGCAGTAGGCAAACAATGACACAGAGAATCTTCATCATTTTCCTCACCAAGCAAAAGATAAAGCTCCCTTAGTTACCGTCCTTACTGGGAACTGAGCCTGATGTATTCCAGATCCAGTCAAGTCCTTCTCCTCATCATTCTGCTGGTGAAATATAATTAACTCTGTAAGGGCCAAAAAGTAGGTCTGGTGAAAAAATCCTGTGCACAGATCTTTAGATAAAGTTTCTGGGCTATTTACAGCTATTTCAGTGGAAATTAGCCTCATTAGGATTTTACTAAGCCTAGTTTAGTATATGTCAATAAATATCTGTAAGAGATTAAAGTTAAACAAAATTAATGAGAAACAACGAGTTAAACAAAATTAATGAGAAAATTTCTCTGAGTTTTTGGCTGTGACAGAAGATGTGTAACAATTGAAATAAACTAGCTACAGAAGACACAAAATCTCCTTTTTTTGGATAACTCTTAGTAAAAACATAATCTTTTTCTGGGGTTTAACCTTAGTTGGACTGACTTAGGTTCAGAACAAGTATAACTGCATGAAATTCAGTGGCATGTTTATTGCAGGAGCAGTGGAACTCATTTTATGAAATTTTAGTAATCTGAAAGTTAGATGCCAAAGCTGGTTGCTAACTCTGTAGACAGTGACAAGACAGAAAGGTGTCTTCAGAGGTTGCATTATCCAGCTGATTTGAAACATCTCTCTGTCTGATCTGGATGGGGAGAAGGGTCAAAACTTTGGGCCTTGGGACATGGCTGTGTGCAAACACCCCAGGCAATGCCGGTGCTGCAGTCCCTTTAGCTCCTCCTTGCTCCTCAATAAATCCTGCTTGCTCTGCCTGCACCTCCCTTCACTCAGTGAGCTCCTGGAATGTTACACCAGCCTGTGGGCAGGGACAAGGGTGAGCCATCCTGTAGATTCACAGAAAGGAAAGACCTCATGGGAAACACTCCTACCAGATTACTCCACTGGCCTTACATACCCTTGCTATCAAACAAGACTTTTTATGGGCTGTGATTTTACCTTTTCCCTGTAAACATTTCTGTGTCCTTTCAGTAGTAATTTGCAATTCTTGTTAAGAATCAGAAAAATTCCACTCAAAGCAATAGAATGTTTTTCCTAAGTAGAAAAAGGTTGTTCCCAGAGAGCTGTTGCATCGCCCCATTTATGTCTAATTATATGCCAGAATAACGTGATCTTTATTTCACATGCAAACTTGGAGACAGTAAATAGTGTCCTAGGGTCTGGTTGTCTTCCTTCCACTCATCTCAAAACAGTTCCCTTTTCACAGCTCCTTTTAAAATTAACAGTTACACAACCATCACCATAAAAGACCGTAGAACGTAATTAGTTTCCTAAAAAGGGCACAATCTTCTCTTAGTAAGTCTGCAGCTGTTGTTAACTAGGCTGAAATCTGCAGATTCAAATTGAGGATTAAAATGCAGTTAAAATAATCAGGATGAGATTATTGTGACTCAGGAAGGACTGTTCAAGGGCCAGACTGAACCCCACTGTCATGCTTTTGTAAAGAAACTTAGGGTAAAAGTCTCTAGAGAAGCATTGCAGTTCATGTAAAAGTTAATGTAAAAGTTTTCATATGCCAAAGAAATCAGAATAATGGTGACATGCAACATTCCTCAACTGTGTTATAATTTAAATTATAATTCACATGATGATTTGCAGAAGATATTTTTTGTGCTCATTAAAGCCGAGAACACAGTGTCAGGATGTTTTTTCTTCTTATAGATATGCTAATGCAAACCTGAGAAGGATTTTATTGGAAGTGATTAATTTATGCTAGGGTGAAATAACTAATGTTTTTAATCAAAGTTATATGGGCAAACATGTGTATTTTGTTGCCACAGAAGACCTGTCATGTATTGAGTGACTCCTTCCTCTTCCACTTAGTTTAACTGACAACAGCTGACCCTTTTGTCTCCTGACAGTTGTAACCTGTAACCTTAAAACCCAAACTCCCATAACAAATAACAGCTAAATGACGTGCAGTGATTAGACACATTTGAATAAATAAAGCAGCCCAAATTTCCTAACCAACCAACAAAGATAGAGACAGACATTGTGCAAAGGCCAAGAAGAATCACATACGTTTTTGGAGTAATTTCAAAGTGTGTCTGTAAATATGCACTCTCTAGTAGAGCTGACTTTTGGATTCAGACTTGCTGATCAGGCACATAATAGCCTGATTTGTTCAAAACAGAAACAACCTTACATGGTTATGTTATATTGTGTTCTGATGGGACTCCATTATGTCCCCATTTGTCTGCTCATATTTCTGAGTCATCTGAGGGAGACCCAAGGGGATCTGGTCCAGTATTCTTTGCATGGATGAGTACTTTTTAGTCTAAGACTCAGAGCTGGCTAGTGAAACATCTGTTTTGAAAATGCATTTCTAAGTGATGAAGCTGTATAATCTGTCTGATTTGTAACAACCTTCAGGCTCCAAGCTCTTTGGAAGTTATAGCGTTGTGGGATATGGAACTCAGTGCATTCTTAGCTACTGTTTCATCCTGTACTGAAAATCTCTCATAATGATACAAATCTCCTTCTGGGAGAGGTAGGGGAGGCAGTAATCTACAAAACCACAGAGGATGTGTAAGGTTCCCAAGAAGTTTGAAGTTTAT